AATAACTCTATTGACTACAATGCCATATTCACAAACGTCACCGTGACAGCGCCCTCTTGCCCACAACATGCTAATTTTGACTCTTGAGCAACATCAAACTTGAACACTCGGGCTCGAAAAATAGCAACAAAAGACAAGCCTCACTCAGCCTCCACACTGGAAGTCATCATCAACCATCCTACAGCAATCCTTACAGGAACACAGCGTGCATGATATAATTGTAAAATTCGGTCCGCACATGAAACTGAAATTGTTCCCGTTGTTATAATCATTCATGCTTATCGAGCACCCCGGTGAATATGTGGATAACTGTAAGTACGCGGCCTGTACATAAGCCGCAATAGTGCTCACTACTGGGGTTGCAGAATTTGTTCACGCCGGGTGTATCGAAATCAGATGCGATAGCTATGTCAGTTATCGCTGCACAGATATCACAATAGTGGTGAGTGAAGCGAATTTCGTAGTCGGATGTTAATAGTGTTTTCTGGACCACGTAGGTTGGTTTTTATAGCCAAACACTCTCATGTGCTTACATCGCTGGATACTAGTATAGGTTCAGTTCTACTAGATTGATCACTTGCATAACAGCAAGTTTTCAACACATCGGATGGAGAAAGAGAGCAAGTGAGTGTACTTCCATATTCATAGTAGTAGCCATTCGAGCTGTTCTCGACTCGTTCCAGGTGCTCAAAATTGTCGTTGATTAGTGGGACTACTCTTTATCTCGAGAGGAACTGCCGTATTGCTCCTAGGACTTTATTGTGCCTACCTTTGGTTTCAGATATGTTCCACTATCTTATTCTTCAGTGTACTCATTCAGGAGTTCAGTTGAAATTCCATCCTAATCTCTTCGTTGCGCCTTCTCCACCTAAGGATTAACAAAATAGCAGGAAATCGGTGGCATTGGCAGAAACAGAGAAGACATGGGAACGGCTGCTGCTGGTGTTGCATAGGTTTGGTTTTGTCATACACTACTGCGGGCGCTTATTCTCGTTCGTTAGACTTTTGTCGGTATTTGTCATCGTCGCACTGGAAAAGTGGTTCGCCAGCTATGTTCTTCAAGTATTCCGCATAGACTGTATAGTGCGGCAGTACCTTTGGCCAGCCTAAGTGGCTTTACGCTTCACCTTTCCAATCATAGCGCGCGTGGTGCATGTGATGGTTCACTGACCCTGAATATTACCATTCTTAAATCTATACAGGTAGATACTGCGACGGAGATGCCGACGGAGGTAGTTCAGCGTGTCACATGCTTGCACACGGTGCGGTTCCCGTTCAAATCGGCAAAGTAGGTTGATCACGTTGTATGAAGTGGGCGAAACGATACTACCGTTCTGATCGAAAATGATAGTGACTTGGCTGGAAAATGCGAGATTGGTGATAAGCTGGTGTTAAAATCAGGTCCAGTGATGCCTGTAGGACTATCATCGCCGTGGCATGTGGTTAGTAACTTAGTAAGTACGGCGTCACCCGGCTGGACAAGCGCCTACTGACATAAGATGATTTAAAAGTGAGCAGAAATCTACCTCTACTCACGATAAGATTGACAATATAACCACAAGGTACGCTCCTTGTAAACTTGAAGTGCTACTGACCGTCTGTCTCCCTGTCTAGGTCACCACTACATGTCAGGACTACTTGATGTAGCAAACAAGAAAAAGCATGCCGTGAGAGGACGCGCGACGCCGGCGCCAATGCAAACGATGCGATTGCACATGGACAAAGTGTCGGTAGTCGCATTCTTCAAAGACGGTCGACGGGTTGTCACTGGCTCATGGGACTATACCCTGCGAATCTGTGACATACAAAAAGGAACAGTGGCAGGGGGGCCATTCGTAGGCCACAGGGATAAGGTGTTTTCTGTTGCGGTATCGCCAGACGATAGGCGAATTGCGAGCGGTGGAAGAGATAACACTATCATCATCTGGGACGTTGAGAGCAAGCAGATGCTATTCGGTCCACTGGCGAAGCATACAAATTGGGTGTCCTCGGTGTGCTTCTCACCCGACGGCAAGAGACTTGCAAGCGGGTCATATGATTCGAAAGTGATCATATGGGATGCAGAAACTGGTGATGTGCTCTCAACACTCCGGAGTAGTCGAGGCGTGTCGAGCGTCGCATTCAACCCAGATGGTTCAAAATTAGCATCCGGATCATTGCGCAGCATCCAGGTTTGGCGCGCAGATAACGCCGAACTTATTTTCGAGATCAACGCTCATGAAAAATGGGTCCTCAGTGTCTTGTGGTCGCCTGATGGCCAGCAACTTGTCTCTGCATCATACGACAAAACAGTCAAGTTCTGGGACTCCTCGAATGGATACCAGATCGGTCAACCTTGCACCAGTCATACTTCCAACATTAACTTGCTTGCCATCTCTTCTGACGGCTCCTTCATTACAACTATTTCGGACGACAGGACTGTCCAACATTGGAGCACAAAATCACACCAGAAGATAGGACAACCACTCAAACACATCGAAGATGTTACATGTGTCTCCATTTCTCCCAACGCAGAATTGGTCATGGTCGGAGACTTCCGTGGCGAGGTTCGGTTCTGGTCAATCAAGGACACACTTTCCGCAGCAGTCCAGCTGTATTCTTCATCTGGCTCTTACTTCGCACACCGCAGTAAGGTGAAGTTGGGACGAAGGCTCTATACTGAGGCCCTTTTGGACGCCCAAAAGGTGCGGACAATATCTGTTATTGTTTTAACAATTGTGGTGATGTAGAAACTACCGATTCTTAGGTTATCGAGCTCAACCCATCGTCTTACCTTGGGTACAAACTGAAGCATGCAGCTCTTTATGAAGCACGGCGCTATGATGACGCAATCGAGTCCTTCAGAATCATGCTTTCCAAGTTGGATGATGCATTAGACTCACGGATACGACGTAAGCCCATAGTACCTCTGGCCTCAGTAGCCAAATTAAAGATGATTTACGCTTTTTTCAGAGTTACGCAAGCAATATGTCAGTCCGTCTCGAGTAGAAAATGCTATTCAACAAGCCATTCATACTCACCTGGACAATGCACCACTTCGTCTAATCAACACCATCACTGGGAAGATATGTGATCGACAGGCACAGATCAATGTCTTCAAGAAAAATACAGAATACAAGGAGATTTTGTCGTCGTCGATGCTGCATAGGCCCCTCCAAATGGAGCCCATCAGGGAAGCGGTTGTGAAGTACTTCAGTTGGGTCATGTTATCTCACAGGTGGGAAACCAAGGAACCGCACTTGCACGAAATTCAGGACAAGGATGTGTACACATTACGTCCAGTTGGGAAGTTGCAGAAGTTCTGCAAAATCGCTCACGATGCGGGGTATTTCTGGGCATGGAGCGATACATGCTGCATCGACCAGAAAAATAACGTCGAAGTCCAAGAATCAGTCAAGTCCATGTTCGTCTGGTATCATAACTCAGCTCTCACCATCGTCTATCTATCGGACGTTTCTCCTTCATCAAAGTGTACACTGGCAAAGAGCGTTTGGAACACGCGAGGATGGACTGTTCAGGAGTTCCTCGCTCCTACAGTTGTCCTCTTCTACCAAGCGGACTGGACCCTATATCTCGGCGACTGCTCACTCAACCACAAGGAGTCTGTCAGTATCATGGAGGAGTTGGAGCGTTCAACTGGTATAAATGCACAAGCGCTCATTGCCTTCAGCCCGGGGATGAGAAATGCCCGAGAGAAACTTCAATGGGCATCATGCCGTGTTACGACATTACAGGAAGATATTGCATACTCATTATTTGGCATCTTTGATGTCAACCTTCCTGTTATGTACGGAGAGAAAAGACAAAAAGCGCTCGGACGACTCTTACAGGAGATCATCGCTCACTCAGGTGACATCACAGCCCTGGACTGGGTTGGACAGTCATCCAGCTTCAATAGCTGTTTGCCAGCCAACATTGCCTCATACAGAGCCCTGCCATGCACAATTCCATCTCTATCCAAAGACGAGATTCAGTCATCGGTCTCCTTGCTGCGAAATGACGTGACTCAGCAGTTGGCTTCGAAACTCTATACCATCCTTGACAACCTCAATGCTCCTCGCTTCGCCAACTGCAGACTGCGCCTGCCTTGCATCACATTTTCACTCACAAAAGTCAAGCGGAGGGCCGGTACACCTTGCACCTATCATATAAAGGCAAACGGACTCCAAGACCTGGAAATCACAACGGCAAACACGCTGGTTGAGTTCTGGCCTGGAAAGTCCACTTCACAGAAATTCTTAGTCATCCGTCCGTGGAATCGTCATGATCTTGGCTTGCCCGACTTTGCAGACGAGATGCAGAACACGGATGATAGACCTGAATCGCCAGATGATCCGCTCGGCTTATCTCCTGCTCAAGAGGCGAACTTACTTGTTCGCCTCTTCGGCGCACTTTGGTCAGCTGAATCGCGGTCTCACACACGAGAGTTGGGGTTGGTTGTTCGCCTTGGACAGCCTTTTAGGGCACTTTTACTGGCGCAGCAGCGGGGTGGGGAGTATAAGAGAATTGCTTCGGATTGCAATATCATCGCACAAGTCAGGGACGTGACTCGTGTCAATGACATGATGGATGTCAGGACGTTAGAGATATTGTAGTTGTATTTTTGTTGAACGACGGGGATCTTGTACTTATTTTCTTCACACTTCGACAGCCCCTGCATGGAAAATCGTATCGTATTGTATGAGTCTTTGCTATCTCTCAGCGTTTGAGCACAAACACAATCTGCGCCTGATAATTTTAGCTATCCATTGAAATCTCGTATCTGTTCTCAATTTCCGTATGTCGTACCTCCATGTCAAACTATCAAAACGTCTCATCCAGTACAGTGCATTCATCACTTAGGGGACCTGGTCTTCAACTCAAACCGCAACTCAGGCAGCACTGTTTGGTGCCTACAGTATATGGGGTCTATCAGATATCAGACTCGGTTTCTATGTTGTGGGAAACCTATCTGCAAGACCTCCCTCCATATCCGTGAAGCCAAGAGAACGTAGATGTTTGTTGCGATCGGATCACGCTTATACCTGTGTTAAATTGATCATGATGCGTGATGGGCTGGTGGCCACACCATGTGGCTTCATACTGAAAATGGTATTGGAAATAAGTCGCCAACGGCTGGTCAAGTTCTACTTGGGCTTCCTTTTCTGTATTTAGCACCGTTTCACCCAATCAAAGGTCTTGAAGCAGGACCAAATATCCATCTTCATCATCCCGATTTTGGCGATAGAAATGCTGACCGGTGGTATATGAAGCGCAAACGCTATCGTGATACATCACCAATATTCCTCACTCGCTCACACCCATCTTTCGAACATGACCTTTATCTCAAATGATCCCAGTTCGTGGCCGATAATCAAATCAAATCTTTTATACAGCTATTGGACAGGTTTGTTTCATCAAGATGTCTAGAACTAATGTTGACTTGCGGTTTCACAGTTGCCGCTGGCGTCATTGTGGTATATGATTGGGGTGAGCAAGACAGTTTTTGAAGACTACTGATATTCTCATGATATTTCCAGCGCTAACACTCGGACAAGAGGTAGGTTGATGTTATTGCCGCAGCGACAAACTCGCTAAGGATGATGTCATAGATTGAACTGATCTGGGTGAGTAACAGCAGTCCCGTATCAAAAAAAAAAACAGGAGAATACAACGAATTCACGACAGAGGCAACGCTGGTCTCTCATGACTGTGCTGTATTTGGTCGTTCGTACCTCATGTTATGCCACAGCGTGGTCGATGGTTGTGCTGACTCCTCAATGTTCTAGATACGCTATATTGGATTACCGTATTCTGTGTATGTGTCAAGGCCAAAAATCGGCACTGCGCTAATAGCTCATCTCTGACAATTAGTCCCAATGTTCTGCGTATGTCTCATGTGTGCTGTGTTTGATCCTTCTGACCGGCGGCACACAGCAACTATACCATTGGTCTCGCTGACAGATGCAGTGAGTATTCCCCAATCATCTCATTACTATTCAATGAATACACTCATTTGTAGGGGTGAGCATGATTCCGACCATTTACTAACTTGGCTCAAGATAATGACTCGATAGGTGTGAGTCTGAGTGTTTGATCCTAGTATGAGGGTGTTCACTAATCAAGTGTTTTAGGCAGTATCATGTACTCCGCACAGAATGGGACAAATATGGTCGTAGCTGCCATGTTGGGCGGTGAGTCACCCAGCTGCAATACCTCTGTGATATCGACTCGACTGAAACCTGACGCAAGTCATCATGATTGCTCGTTTACATGCCATGTATCAGGGATCTAGAAAGATGCTCATCTTCCTTGTTATCATCTTCCTGGCTGTAAACATCGCCTGTGGAGTTATCGCGGCAATAGGAATCAAGGATACCGTATCAGGTAAGCTTTACTTGTTGACTCGAAGAACACGGTTCATTGGACAAACACCAGAGGAGTTCATACTCTTTGGCACGTATATGTGCAATTATGGATATGAAGGGGACGTCCAGCTTCTGTTCCCAATGGTTTGGACGCTCAACACTATTTGGGAGGTCCTCGCTCTGTGTCTTTCACTCTGGGTTTCTATAAAACACTTTCGTGACCTGCGACGACTCAGCTCTTCGATGGGATCGATCATCGGGGACTGTTTCACAGTGCTGACGAGATCTCACGTGTTTTATTTTGCCATGTGAGCTTGTCGTGTGAATGGGCTATCTTTTTCTCAAGTTCTGCACGTGCTAGCTTTGTTTGTGTCTCTATCATTCAGCTTGGTGCTGACTCTTCAGAGATGATCGCGGTGCGCTGACCTGTTACTGACATCTACGTGTGACCACTGCTCATCATTTCATGTTCTATTGAACCCCAGGGTGCTCTTCAAGTTTTATCGGTCATGCAGACGTTTGTGCTGGGACCACGCCTTATCCTTAGCGTTCGACAATATTATGCTGAACTCGTGGCCGAATCCGATGCAGAAACTAGCATGAATTCGATTGTCTTCCAGGAGTGCGTACATGTATCAACTAGCAGTACTGTGTAGAGAAATGCTTGCCGAGTGGTCTGCAGGGAGAAATTTGGTTGAGGATCCGTTCGTGGTGTTTATTTAACATATGGTGTTTCAAAGTATATCTGGAAGGTCTAGACAAACCTATTTCGTGTTGTATTACTACTTGAATGCAGTAGCTACCCACCATTCTTACACTAAGTGGCAAGCTGACATTATCCGGAACGTCTGGCAATCAACCCGATCCTTGATGCGAATACTAAAGTAAGAATCAGAGGAAGCCGTCCAGATAGCTGATCCCACATCAGAATCGCACTGCAGTAGCATTTACCAATGTGACTGCAAGACACATGTCAGATTTACATCAGGGTCCTTGCAACGCTCTACTCGATGGAGTACGTCCTGCTAAGTACAACTGTCAGAGCAAGGCGTCGAACGATACAGATATGCATGCATACATACACCCGTTGGCATCAATCAGCAGCCTAGGCCTCTCTCGCTTCGGGGTAGAATTCCAACATGTGGGTATCTGAAATAAGCACGGCCCTAGCCACCGGCACCTGAAAATAGAAACAACTGGCACTAGGTTGTGTCGCCAGAAAGGCCCTTGGCGAAATATTCGTACTGGCAGGGAATTATACGCGCTAGCGGAAAACACGCTCAGTAAGTCACATAGAACAATACTGAGTACTGAGTACTGAGGTGTCATGCGAATGGCACGAACTATATAGCCTATGATAAGGAGTAAGATTAGGTGAGAGACCGGGGAAACGACGTTCGGAGAGAGTTCGTGTGGTGAAGAAGCAAGAAGTTGTCAAGATAAACTGTTGCATATGGTGTTGATGCTGATAATTTGTCAAGAAGGTAATACGATATCTAAAGGTAAAAGTCAAAAGCGTTAACAGGAATCACTTGACTTAGACCAGACGCACGGACACAGCGCCTGATAACGTGGGAGCCTCAGGTGAGATAATACCCGTGGGTTAACTAATATTGAACTCGGCCAGACAAGGGCTAGGCTACTTTCATGAGATGAGTTACAACTGAGCAGAAATTCAACTCTACTCACGATAAGATTGACAACATAACCATAAGGTATGCTCTCCATAAAATTGAAATACTACTGACCCTCTGTTTCCCTGTCTAGGTCATCGCTACATGTCAGAACTACTTGATGTAGCAAACAAGAAAAAGCATGCTGCGAGAAGGCGCGTGATGCCGGCGCCAATACAAACGATGCGATTACACACGGACAAAGTGTCGGTAGTCGCATTCCTCAATGACGGTCAGCGGGTCGTCACTGGTTCATGGGACTACACCCTGCGAATATGTGACATACAGAAAGGAACAGTGGTAGGCGGGTCATTCGTGGGACACAGTAACAAGGTGTTTTCAGTCGCGGTATCGCCAGACGACAGGCAAATCGCGAGTGGTGGAAAAGATAACAATATTATCATCTGGGACGTCGAGAGCAGGCGGTTGCTATTTGACCCACTGACGAAGCATACAAATTGGGTGTCCTCGGTGTGCTTCTCCCTCGATGGCAAGAGGCTCGCAAGCGGGTCATATGATTCGACAGTGATCATATGGGATGCAGAAACCGGCGCTGTGCTCTCAACACTCCAGGGTGATCGAGGCGGGGTGTCGAGTGTCGCATTCAACCCGGATGGTTCAAAATTAGCATCCGGATCATTGCGTAGCATCCAGGTTTGGCGCACAGATAACGCCGAACTTATTTTCGAGATCAACGCTCATGAAAAATGGGTCCTCAGTGTTGTGTGGTCGCCTGATGGCCAGCAACTTGTCTCTGCATCATACGACAAAACAGTCAAGTTCTGGGACTCCTCGAAAGGGCACCAGATCGGTCAACCTTGCACCAGTCACACTTCCAACATTAACTCGCTCGCCATCTCTTCTGATGGCTCCTTTATTGCAACTGTTTCGGACGACAGGACCGTCCAAAATTGGAGCACAAAGTCACACCAGAAGATAGGAGAACCACTCAAACACATCGTAGACGTTACATGTGTCTCCATTTCTCCCGACGCAGAATTGGTCGCGGTCGGAGACCTCTATGGCGAGATTCAGTTATGGTCCATCAAGAACACACTTTCGGCAGCAGTCCAGTTGTATTCCTTGTCTGACTCTTACTTTGCACACCGCAGTAAGGTGAAGTTGAAGCGAAACCTCTATCACGAGGCCCTTTCGGACGCCCAAAAGGTGCGGACAATATCTGTCGTTGTTTCAACAATTGTGGTGATGCTAGATAATACCGATATTTAGGTTATCGAGCTCAACCCATCGTCTTACCTTGGGTACAAATTGAAGCATGCAGCTCTTTATGAAGTACGGCGCTATGATGACGCAATCGAGTCCTTCAAGATCATGCTTTCCAAGTTGGATAATGCACTCGACTCACAGATACGACGTAAGCCTATAGCACCTCGGGAGCCAAATTAAAGATGATTTACTCATTTTTTCAGAGTTACGCCAGCAATATGTCAGTCCGTCTGAAGTAGAAGATGCTATTCGGCAAGCTGTTCATGCTCACCTAGAAAATGCACCACTCCGTCTAATCCACACTATCACTGGGAAGCTATGTGATCGACAGGCACAGATCAATACCTTCAAGACAAGCATGGAGTACAAGGAGATCTTGTCATCATCAATGCTGCATAGGCACCTTCAAACGGAGCCCATCAGAGAAGCGGTTGTGAAGTACTTCAGCTGGGTCATGTTATCTCACAGGTGGGAAACCAAGGAGCCGCGGCTGCACGAAATTCAGGACAAGGACGTGTACACATTACGTCCAGTTGGAACTATAGTGAAGTTGCAGAAGTTCTGCAAAATCGCTCGCGATGCGGGGTATTCTTGGGCGTGGAGCGATACATGCTGCATTGACCAGAATAATAACGTCGAGGTCCAAGCATCAGTCAACTCCATGTTCGTCTGGTATCACAACTCGGCACTCACCATTATCTATCTATCGGACGTTTCTCCTTCGTCAAAGTGCACACTGGCAAAGAGCGTTTGGAACACACGAGGATGGACTGTTCAGGAGTTCCTCGCTCCTACAATTGTTCTCTTCTACCAAGCGGACTGGACCCTGTATCTTCACGACCACTCACTCAACCACAAGGAGTCTGTCAGTATCATGGAGGAGTTGGAGCGTTCAACTGGTATAAATGCACAGGCGCTCGTTGCCTTCAGCCCGGGGATGAGAAATGCCCGAGAGAAACTTCAATGGGCATCATGCCGTGTTACGACATTACAGGAAGACATTGCGTACTCATTATTTGGCATTTTCGGCATCCATCTACCTGTCATCTACGGAGAGAAGAAACAAAACGCGCTCGGACGTCTCTTGCAGGAGATCATCGCTCACTCGGGTGATATCACAGCCCTGGACTGGGTTGGACAGTCATCCAGCTTCAATAGCTGTCTGCCAGCCAACATTGCCTCGTACAGAGCCCCATCATGCACACTGCCATCTCTATCCGAAGACGAGATTCAGGCATCGGTCTCCTCACTGCGAAATAATGTGGCTCAGGAGTCGGCTTTGAAACTCTACACCACCCTTGACAATCTCAGTGCTCCTCGCTTCGCCAACTGCAGACTGCGCCTGCCTTGCATCACATTTCCACTCACAAAAGTCAAACGAAGCGCCGGTACGCCTTGCACCTATCATATAAAGGCAGACGGACTCCAGGACCTGGAAATCACAACGGCGGACACGCTGGTTCAATTTTGGCCTGGAAAGCCCACTTCACAGAAATTTTTGCTCATCCGTCCGTGGAATCGTCATGATCTTGGCCTGCCCGACTTTGCAGACGAGATGCACAGCGCGGATGATGGGCCTGAGCCTGGGTCTCCATCAGACGATCCACTCGGCTTATCTCCTTTAGATAATGAGCCGGCTGGTTTGCGGTCTCTTACTCGAGAACCGAGCTTACTCATTCGCCTCACACAGCAATTGGGCGCACTTTGGCTAGGGCAGCAGGAACAGGCTGATTCGCGATCTCACACGCGAGAATTGGGGTTGGTTGTTCGCCTTGGGCAGCCTTTTACTGCACTTTTACTGGCACAGCAGCGGGGTGGGGAGTATAAGAGAATTGCTTCGGAATGCAATATCATTGCACAAGTCAGGGACATGGCTTGTGTCGATGATATGATGAATGTCAGGACATTAGAGATATTATAGTTGCATTTTCGTTGAACAACGGGGAACTTTTACTCATTTTCACTCATATCTCGACAGGCCCTGCAAGGAAAATCGTATCGTATCGTATGGCAGGCAAGTAGATCACTCAGCTGTATAAATGAATTGTCATTGAGAGCGCTAGGCTAGACAGTCTTGTAAATTTTCGCATCCTTACCCTACCAGAGGCTCTTGTAAACCGCGCTTGTATACAACTGAGAGAAATGCACAGACGCTCATTACTTTCCGCCGGGTGACCATGTTGCAGGAAGACATCGCATACTCATCTTTTGGCATCCCCCTTGCTGTAATCTATAGCTAAGAAGAGAAAAAACACAGTGCATTCGGGCGGTACTTCTGCCCTTGACTAGGCTGGAAAATCATCTGAGTTTGATACTCATCTCCCAACTGGTGTTTCCTCGTACGATGCTTCGGACACCGATTCTCGCCAGTCATATTCATGTCAAACAAGCATCGAGGCGGATATGTTTCGTCACCATGAGTAATTCGATCGATTGGCAACCTGGGATGAACAGAAACAATCAGTACCACCGCTACCTCCAAACGCATGGTTAATTTATTAAACAACCACAAAGAGGGGTTACTGATTGAATATATCAGACATGTACCCACAGGAAAGAGATATCCGAAGACGTCTAATGACGTACGGGAATGCACTTCTATGACTTCGAAAAATCGCGGCAGTCATTGGAGACAGCGGTGATAGTGGCGACAGGCAGTGTTTTGGAGGGTGTGACAGGGCAAGTAGTAGTTTCGGAAATTACACGGGTCAACCCTCTACACGAGATGTGCCTTCAATGACATGTCTGGAAGAAAAGTTTTGATCAGTATGCATTGGTGAACCTAAGATACAGTATGACAATTTTAAGCATGTTTGGGCCATGGCAATTATGGGTGACGGGCCGTACCCGTGCAGTTCCCTAGGTGCGCGTCGTCGTGGTCAAGGGACTGAAAATGACCATGACTTATTCCTGTATATGTTGTTTTCCTTGTCATACATGGCCAGTATTACTCCTTCACATCCATTTTGGTTCGCCGTCTCTACGCCATCTCATTATTTTATTCCTATTCCTTTTTATTTTTTCTATCGAGTTGATATTGTAGGCTAGTCCTCTTCCTTGGACACAGAATTACCTCTCTTCGGTTCTTTGATCGAGGTTGTTGAAAATACTCATGTTTATGGATGTACTATTAGTATACAGTTTATTGAGTCTATGCAGTTTCTTCCTCTACTTACTACTAGGTGATAACGGTGGATTTTCAGTAACCTTATGTGAGCTCCATTTGAGTTGTATTCGGACAATGATTATTGTGATATCTTACGTCGAGTCAATGGTAGCAACTATCGATGCTAAAACTTTGAGGGTGTATGCATCGCGCGCTGTATCAGTACCGAGACCGATCTTACTCTTAAAATTTGACTATATTAGCAATGATCGTAAGTCGTTGAATTGATGATGCATGATACCGTCCGCATCGTGGTGTGGTATTTTTTACACCATGCCTTCAATTCAAGGGATATGTGCGAATTATCAACAACCGGGAGTGATACTTCGGGACCACCGTCAGAACAACGACATTGTGAGAGGTGAAAACTCACCGGACTGTCTGTCGTGTGCAAGTAATCGCTCTGAAGTCGTCTCGACTGTACTCACAAGTTCGCCTCGGTCGAGCATTTCGCAATGAGGCGCGAATGTTGAGGCGATCTTCTTTGGAGGAGCTGGAAAAGATGGGCATAAGCCACATGGGAAACATCAACGGGCTTCCACAGATCGTGAGGGTCTCATTCCAAAGAACACTACAGTCGCCGCGGCCATTGCAGCCTTGATAGCGGTGTTCCACTGATCATAGCAGGTGGAGAGAAGAACATAATGGCCCGCTGGCGTGCGATTAGAATGAACGGTAAGATTTACCCAGCGATCGCTGCATGCATGCGAGATATGAGAAACATGAAATCGAAGGATAATTATGAAAGGCACAATACTTTTCAGTGCTGAAGCATGTCCGCCCAACGTGTGTAGAACTTATGTAAGGCCTGCTGCCTGCCAGGCTTCTCGAGGCTCAGTGGTTGTGGGGATTTGGAGGCAACGCTACAAGAAGGCAAGAGGATGCAGCTTTAGTATTGAGGGCGACATGCAAGCTAAAATTGTCCGTGAGCATTTGAAATTCGCATGTGTTCATTCAAATAAAACTTAACTAACCTCCATGTCGTCTCCAAGCTCTATCAAAGCAGTGCACTCGCCTTCCTCTCCTCACTCACCCGCGTTCTCCCTAATCCTACCCTTGCCTTCTCCTCTTCCTTCACTCCCTCCACCCCTGGCACCTCAATATCCCCAATGCATTCGACGCGTACTCTGAGATCGGTTGGCAAAACTCGGTAGTTTTGCTAATAACACAACATGTAGGGTAGTAGTTGCATCAGAAAGGCCTTTATTGACGTGGGTCGCACGGTAGCGGCCTCTCAATCTCAAAGTTGCTTCCTCGCAAAATTTGACATTTGTCAAAGCTTTCGACAAAGCAACCTTTATGTTGGAAAGAAAAGTCTTTGTTTTATGCCCACTTGGCTGTACAGTTCTTTTTCTTTCTTTCCGTGCACATATAAGCTTGATCTATTTCAAGGAATGGGGGCATAATCTTACCTAGAACACTACCTCAGCGCTAGGTATGCCAGCAATCACACTGGCGCAGGACGCGACCCTAAGCACGCAGCTAACGTTTTCTAGCGGTTCGCAAGCGGACTCAGTTCAATCGCCTGTAAGATATGCCACATGCCCTGTTCATTCGTGATTTGACACAGATTTACCGGCAACAACGCAGACTTTCAGTACCACATCTACATTATGCTCAGCAGTTCTCCCGACCAATGCTGGATCCCAAGAAGTTAGGACTATCCCAAAACCGCGGCCTAAGCGCCGACTCAAGCCTGAGGGACCTTCAATACCCGAGCACATAGAAAACCGCGACCTACAGTGGTTTAAGGCACAACTAGAACAGCCAGCAGCTGCCCGTAATTCAAAGATTGCAAGTCCTGTGGGGGATCCAATTGCTCGACCTGCTACGCTTGTATTGTTGAATAATGTAGCAGGGGCCCCTGCTGCAGAGAAGCCAAAGCCGTCTCGCATGCCAGGGAGTATATATCCGAGACCGCCACCCAGTGGACCGATGACAGCGAACCAGCCTACAGCTGCGGAAATCATTTATCAGACGAGTACTTTTGGTGTGGACATCAAGCGATCTAACGAAGAAATAATCACGTCCGCTGTATCTGACATTACTATGAGTGAGTCACAACCGGAAAATGTTCCTCGAGATTCAGAGAAGCATCCCTCGGGCGCGCCAGAAAACGTTGCTCCCAATGTCACTATGTCCTCGCTAAAGCAAATCACGGATTTCCTAGCTTCAACGAAGCCACCTGGGACACCCACGAACCATTTAGTAGTAAAAAAAGGCGAATTTCAGTCGTGTCCAGTCACCACTCCGCAGGTTAATTCCCCGAGATTTGGAGGGCAAATGGTCATGATGATATATTGGCGAGGACTTGCATCGGCTCTTGAGACTCTTAACATCACTTTCAACCTCGATTCACATTATTCCCAAATAGCTCAGTGGGCGAAGTCGAAGCATACCAAGTCCTCACTAACCTCGTATGTAACAATTTTCTCTTGTCTGTACGCAAATTGAGCGGTTCACAGAGATTTGGAACAAGGTGTTTGTGTGTCGTTCGCTTGCTATCATCTCCCCAGTCTTCCGTTCGATCCACTAGAAGGTGATAGATCTACGCCATGCTTTGAGACACTGATGTACTCGCCATGCACGTGGCCCACATCCGGGGACGTTTCACTGCAGACGAAGCGGAACGGGAAGGATTTTATCATTCCGCTAGCTCCACCGCTTTTCGTGAGTATCAGTATGCATACTAAATTACAATCAAGTTGAAAGGTTCGTTTTGACAGGTCACCCCAGACAATTGCATCGACATCTCCGCTTTCATCAGAAGTGGAGAAAATAGGTTTTCAGTGGTCCATCAGAGTGACATGTCAGACTATTTGTTTGTGCTCCACGTCCACCATCCTACGCCGGAGCAACTTAGCTATCTCGCTTCGTGCAGGCATAGACGTGAGGAGTGGGTGAAGAGCATGAGTGATCTTTGCAAGTTTGAGCCGAAGGAATCGTTATGGAGGCAATGATTGCCATTTGAAGTTATATCATCTCGCTATTACATTACATCCGAATTGAATGTACTAGAGTACCAAGGTTTGTTAGATAAGTTTTTGGTGCTATATAGATAACGAGTTGATTTTGCCGGTTCCATGGCGTTGTCAACGGTCCGAATGGTGACCGAGGACCATAACGTGTTTCATCAACTATGTCTGTCAGTCATCAACATATATATTAATCTGACTGGGATATGGCCTTCTGTTGGCCAGCCGCGTAACAGGTTACCTTTGAGCTGTTCACTCCTTCAATATTGTGACCAGTGACGGATCTACATCCACCTCGTGCAGCATTCAATGTTGATGCATTGATGTTGCTTGCACTAATACACAAGCAACTGAAGGGTGTCTGGTCTCGTTTTTCAACAAGGTAAGAACTCCAAACTAAAAACTCATGCCACCAAATAAGTCACTGAATGAAACGCTTGCATCGTTAACTCGCAATTTCGAGACAGCGGGAGAACATCATCGCTATCAAACTAAGGAAAACCAATGCAAGGAGTTACATCAGTGTAAGTATCATTTCATTCCATGCGACCCCTCAGCCAGCTCAAAAGGCCCCTCGTCCCTTCCCTTTCCCAAACCCTCCTCTGGGGTATACGGAATCTACCAAGCACGTAAACATCACCATACAATCAACGCACGCCAAACCACTCACAAGTTACCATCCACCAAGAAGACATCCAGAGGCAAAAGACCAAGTTCTGCAGGAAGCTTGGAAATCTCGTTGTCTCTAAGGTCTAGTTCTTCTAGTTTCCAATCTGGCACCGAACGGTTACCTTTAAACAGTTCTGCGATGCCCTGGAAAGCATCAAGTCCATCTATTCGATTGCCACGGAGTCTGAGATGCCTGAGACCTTTACGACCATTGGAATTATCAGCCAGGATGAGGGAAGACAGGGCGTCCAGGGAAGCTGACGTAAGAACGTTGTAAGATAGATCCAACGTCCGAAGACTCGGGAAAACGCGTGTTAATAAAGGTAGAAGTGTATCGTTGGAGCGCAGAGAAGCAGTAGCCCCCGTTTCAGCTTGACGTGTCACAGACATCTGATCACCGAATCCACACCCATCCAGAACGAGTTCCTCCAGGCTTGGAAGTAAGACCTCACCAGTGATTGGAAGAGAAGCGCAAACATCAAATTTGCGGTTGCTTAACACGAGAGTCTTGAGTGTCTGTGCGAACGACTGCGCTGATATAGCAACGAGGGGAAGTGTCGGTGTAGGCAGGGCAAAATCTGTTTTACCTCGAGAGGATGGTGGACTTGGGAATGGAGTTGCTAAAGAGAAGGATCGAGCGTGACCCTTGGTCGGAGCTGAGAGCGGGGGTAAAGTGAGTGTTTGAGTGGTAGCCTTGTAGTATTGAGGGTTCGTTAAACTTGCGGTCGGTGATGGTTGCGAGGGGCTAGCAGGCGTGGGCGGTTGTCCGTGCCCGATAAGGGGACTAGGCTTCGGAGGTGGTGCAATATTCGCTGCAGACATTGCCGCTGCCGCTCTTGCCCGTCGACGTCCACCCTCTGTTAACAAACCCTGTTCTGCCTCGATCTCCCAAGCTTCCTTGACAACATCTGTGTTGTTTTGGCCTACGTCTGTTTTGCTGGGACCAGCGCTTTCTGTACTTGTCGCACTTTTAGGCACACGGCTCTTCACCCTTCTCTCCGCCTCTACCTCCCAAGGTTCCCGAACAACCTTTTTGCCGATAGACACCCTCAGAGTGCCTTCTGGCGGCTCCTCGGTAGTAAAATCGTATGTAATGTCCTGCTTCAGCCCAGATAACGCTGATTGCAAGCCTTCCATGGTAGCCCGAGTTTCGCCCATATCAAGGATCCGCAACCGAGGAAAACAATGACTTTCCGAAGTGGATAAGTTACTGGGGAAGGCATCATCACCGATATCGGCGGTTTCACAACGAAGTTCCTTGAGATGTTCCAAGTGACTGAGAGCTCGTATAAATGCAGGTGTCGAGTTGGAGTCACCCAAAGCTAGGGGATTTGCGGCAAAGTCAGCTTTTGTTATCAACAGAGGCAAATTGGCATGGTCTATGGTGGAAGCGGTGAGTTTGTTATGAGACACATCCAGGACAGAAAGGCGTGGCAGTGGTGACGAGGCTCTCGTGATGACAGGATCAAAGAATCCTCTGGAACTGAAGGGATCGTGTTGCGCTTTGCGTGAGGGAGACTTCAAGAACGGGGCGCCAAAGGAGAGCTCGCTGAGGGCATTATGGGACAGTTTCATGATCGTGAGATTTGGTAAGGCGAAGATATTTGAAGGTAGTGCTGTGAGGCAGTTATGAGAAAGATCTAGGGTAGTTAAAGCCGTAAGGTCGGCAAAGGTATCAGGTAAGAGAACAATCCTGTTTTGATGCAACTTGCGACGGACCACATATAAATACATCTATCACGGGAGGACGTGGTCAACACTTACATCAACGGTCTTCAGTGATCCAAAGAGAGAGATTTCGTGCTGTATTTCGACAATATCGTTATTCCATGCTTTGAGCACATGCAAGTCTTGAGCTTCAAACCACGCTGGTCCTTCTCGTTGGCCAGTCCGCCTGGACGAACATGAAGTATCCGTGGGGGACGATGTGAGTGGCTCTGAAGCTGCAGACTTCAATGGATCAGGAGTTATCCCCAAATGAATGTCAAATAAGGCAGAAGGAATGCATGATAGAGAGCGAGAGGACAAATTGATGGCACCTGCAATAGTGACCTTGTCTGATCAACGGCACGCATCCGACACGAATCGTATCCACTCACCTGTGCTTCGAGCACGCTCGATCGTTTCTTTCACAGACCACCTCCCCAAATCGAGTGTTTCTTCTTCGTTCTTCTTCGGATTTACATCTTCGAGGTTCTCAAATTCACCAAAGCCTGCGCTATTACCAAGGCCTGAAGAAGTAGATATAGCCTTTTTGGCTTCGGCTCGCCTCAGGGCGACAGCTTCCTTGATGCTCAATGGTGTTTTGGGAACAGGTGGTTCATTTTCGACAGGCGGTGGCCTACGGATAGCCTTAGACGGAGATTTTGGGACCGACTTAGTCCTCACGCGAGGAGAAGACACACTGGCGGCAGGCTTAGACGGCGAAGGAGCTCGTGAGCGAGCAGGGGGCACGAGAGTCGTCTTCACCGTTGGACGTGAAGATGGTTGAGGAATGCGAGACATTTTTGTGTACTAAGAGTTTTGAGCTATATAGGAAGAGTTGACTGGCAAATAGAGAAATAAGTGAAAGAGGCAGAAGTTCAACGTTGATTATATTTGGGGTTCGTCTTCGGAACGGTGACTTTGTACTCACGCAAGTCAAACCCAAATCAACCGACTGTTCTTATGTACGAAGTGATTCAAGACGTCAACGTTTCAACCGTGAGTGTAAATATTAGACTGAGGAATTATCAAGCGACAAGGGTGAATTCATGACTTCCTGAAGCAGAGCACACAATAAAGTATCCTACGTGTCATCTGATGATAATGGCCCTCCAGAATCGCCATCTTCATCGTCATCATATATCCTGACGTCTTGAACGTCATCTGCAACCCTTGCAAAATCTTCCGAGTCACCTTGCTCCCGACGGTATACCGACAGATCCCAGTCTTCGGTTTCGTCTTCGTCGTCTTCGAACCATTCTGGATTGTATTGGAACTAAAATTGTCTTGAATCAATGGGGGATGGCCGCGTATTGTTCATTACTACGTACCAAATCTCGCCCACTCATGCCCGAGTTCTTGCCAGCTGCATGTTGCGTTTCTTTCGCTTTCCGCAGTGCGTCTGTCTCGGCTTCTTTCTTGTCCATCCTAGTTTTCTTCCATACGGCGAAAGTCTCTGGAGTGACTGGAGTTAGATTTGACCCTAGTTTGTGGCGCTGTGGTTTCGCAACGTGAGATCCTTTGGTAATTGCGTTACTCCTTGATTAGACTCGCCTGAATTTCAAGGAAGTCTTCCAGACTGATAATGTTGGCTTTCGCTGCCTCCTCGGCGGCCTTGCGCTCCGATCTGAGCACAAACCCAGGAGGTAAGGCATGCCTATACTGGCACTTTTCGCTTCCATTGGGGCATTCCCAGAACCACCCAAACCTTGAAAGAAAATGATTAAGTCAGTCAAACTGAAGAGTTCAAGATTTCCGCACTTTTGAGTCTCGATGGCCTCAATAAAAAATTTGCACACGATCTATACGTACGTTGAGTAGAGGCCCGAGCGGTGATGCATCCCGACCCACGTCTGTTGTTGTTCTAGGATTGCCGTGCTTCGATAGGACTACATTCCGTAGCTTCTCCTCATCCCAGTTCTCCATAGTATCTGATGAAGGACATGATGAGAAACTCGGCCAGTTGACTCATGAACACCGTACCTTTCATCTTGTCTTCTCTGCTATCCTCATACAAATTCTTCTTCTCCACCTTGCGGCCAATATTGAGATCATGGCTGAATTTGCACTTGTTACCCTTCTCACAGTTTCCAGCTTTGTAGAAAGCACAAAGCACCGTTTTGGGATCGACTCCAAAAGGTACCTTCTGCGTCTGAACAGGCTTGAACATAGCAGCTTCCTCTTTCCTGCGTTTCTCCTCCTCGAGTTTCGCTTTCTCGCGCAGTTCCTTTTCTTTCTCCTTTGCAACCGCTTCCTTGGACTTTCCAGTCATAGCTTGCTGCTGCTGCAAAATCTGCACCTGCTTCTGGACCCTGGCAGATTTATTTTTCTGTATACACGGTCAAGAAAAACGTCAAGAAAAAGTATATGACCATGCCTACATTCTTCATGCCGAAAGTCTTCGTGAAGTAACTGATCGATCAGTTCTTTCCTGAGATGAGCTGCATGATGATCTACCTTGTCGTCCTTCACCTTCGAACCTGAAGGCACGTTCTGCTTCTTTGGAGGCATGATTAGGGTAGCTCGTGATCGTGAGTGGGTAAAGACTGTTTAAAAGGTCAACGATGGTGCTGTCTATGGGACTCCACGAAAGTCTGTCACTCGCAGATATCGTGCACACTTCAAGTTAGAAGGATGTAATTGGTAGTAGTTCTCAGCCACTGCTGACAAATTTTATAAAAAATGGTTTACAGTTTCACTACCAATTCACTACTAGTACTAAGTCAAGGCTTAGATTGCTCAGCGCTCATTTTGCGCTCTAGCGGAAACATCCACCTTCCTTTGCAGTTACCGGTACAGCGGTACTAGTATCAACGTTGGTTAGATAGCACTCAAGCATGAACTGTTTGCCAGTGGTCACTCTTTTTTCCTTCGATTTATATCTCATCTTCCACTGTAGAATCACTCAGACTGAGGATGATCGGTATATGGTTAGGTTCGAGTCCATCGACCCAAGTCAACAGTTTTACTAGTGAGGTATGTCTCCCGGGTATATTATATCTGTATCATTGCGTTAACGAGGACCATGTCGGCGACCATATAATGAAGGTCAATGGAACTCTCTTCATCTTGATCGCGCACTGAGTCTGGATCCATCTCTGAAGGCACAAAATTCGATTCTGAGAAAAAAGGCTCAGGAAATCTCTCATACGAAATTGGGTCATATATCACAGACTGACGGTCAGCAATGCAGAACAGGTTGCCTTCGTTTGATCCACGACTTATTGCAACCCTGTCAACCGACGGCGTCAGGTCAAGTCACCAACGAGGACCACGCTATATCGCACGGAAATCTGCTGTACTCTGTGTTAATGCTTTCAATTTGACCGTAAAGACCGCAGAAGTGGTCCGCGCTAAAATCTAGACGAGATCAAGAAGGCTGCCGCGGCAGGGAAACTCGGAGCACTACCTTGCGAACCAGGTCCTCCGCCCATTTAGTGAGCCTATGGAAGGGACAGACACGGCACCGTTGGCTGAACGTCTTGGTGAACGTCAAACCACTCGTGCCTCCGAATCAAGCACAACGTTTCCAAAAGGACTGGATTGGGGATGTTATCGCATTAGTGCTACATGCATACTGTAGCCTGTAAAAATGAAATGAGGCCACATTATTCCTCTACAGCGCTCACTTGATACTCACTGGTCGCTCTAATAATTCCATCTGGATAAATGATGACGACTGTTGGATGAGTTTTATCCTTCGTAACCTTGTAAGCTGCATGTGCATGCTAACCATCATGATGAAATGAAGATTTTCGCAACTAAACTCTGTGGGTGGGCATGGATAGACGATTACTGTCTTCCGCTGGTCTGGGAAGGAGTGCTACACGGAATGTTGGATACTGAACCGAGAAACTTGCCAACGACATTATCGATGTAAGCGAGATTCTTTAAGATCGCTATTAGTTGCAAGTCGAGAGTAAAATCGCATGTCCAGGACGATTGAGCTTCAAGCTTGAACGGTAGTCGACACCAAGTGTATAGAGCTGACGGGGCATGAAAATTTATTGTTCAGTCCGGCTATGATGAATCATTAATGAACTTCCTGCTTGGACCTCAAATGCCTCCGTCGTTCCATGGGACCAGCGAATTGTTTATTCGCACAAGATCCAGACCCGAATGGGGATGCTCCCCACGGTAACACTGCCCTTCTGCATAGACATGCTATTTCTGTTTACACTCAAATCCCCTCGCAAATGCAAGATGAAGATGGAAAGAACGCTTTATCAATAATTCTGGAGCTTAGAAGAGCTAGTGCTCAAAAAAATCGAAGTGCCCTGGGGTGACTGAAGACTGTTATGCGCGAACTTTACTGCAACAGAACATGGCAACGCACATGTGGTCTTAGACATGGAATACCTTCAGATACAAAGAAGCGAAGTGGTTGGGGAGGAAATCGATATCTCTAGTATGGCGCAAATTGAAATATTCCTGCGTCCGAGGAAGCCAAATGGATGTTCTGAAGAGGAGAGCTTTGTTGCGCTGGCGGGACGGTAAAAGATATCATTGTAAGCCTCGATTAGAACAGTAACAACATTCTTGTTTTTCCACCTACAACCGCTCATGCACGCCGTGGTAGGGAACGAACGGGTATGAGGGTATCGATCAAAGTCCTGGTGATTAATTCGTAGTGGTAAAAGATACTCTGCACCCAGGGAAACATATATCAGGCTCTGAGGAACCAATTTCAGCAACCGAACAATTTACCTAACAGAAAAAAAGATAAGACTCAAGTCGATGACCAACCACAGTGAGCTGAGACACTATGCAATAGTGGAAGAGTTCGACTGGCCGAAAAACTGCATAACCTGACTGGCGACCAAAACTGATAGTTGGAACTTCATGAGAGTACCTGCGGTACCTCGCACTATCTCCTGTTACAATATAAAGATATCATGAGTATCTTAAATAACTTTGAAAGTGCTCATGTGAAAAAGGGAAATTTACGTTCATTAACAACTTGTTCGTTTCCGAAGCAGTTTCTCTTTCACACTTGTATTCCATATCATTCTCCATAACTTTATCCCAAGGCCCTCCCCAGCAATGCTACGACGTGTCCCAGACGACATCAAGTCTATCTCTCTGTCAACACAGTCAACTTGAAGGGTGACTCACTGAACAATCTTCCCCAACAAAAGTGACGTATTTGTTCAACGCATTAACAGCGGTGTGGTAGTTGCTTCGTTCTTTTGTGTGGTTCCACGTTGAAGGGCTACATGGCACATGTAATACCCCAACCACACTTGACGCGGATGCGTGATGGTGAATCCGAGTTGACTTCACATTGACTGAGGAGTGGTTGAACCTTGGGTCACGTGGTAGATCACAGAGGATCCGGGCCGCATGGAGTACCCAGTAAGCTGATGTTCTCAACGTCACACGCAAGATCTTCAAGTTGCCATTATTATAAAGGCTAGCACTCCTAGTCATGGCTCTCACCTCGTCGTTGCTGGCGTCGACGACTCCAAGTGTCATCGCACCAGCAGACATTACCATCGGCCATGTGTAAGCTTCTATCTTTCGTGGTTGCTCGTCACTAAAACGTTCCGTAGGCAACTTCGAGATTTAATCATATGTCCACGCGAGGCTGGGATCGTCAATTACGTTCATAACAAGTCGATTATCGAGCATGACCTTCATGCTCCAGACTTGGTGCGTTTTCATTATCCTTGTCTTTATGTGATGTAAGGGTCGCAGGACGATTCTCATTTATGACTCCTAGGCACCAAGACTTGTAGCCGATCTCACATTCATCCCAAACACACTTTCTTCTTTGACCCTTTCTGACTCCCCGCACACACTCATCGCAGCAGGTGGCCAGGACACCGAGATTCACCTCTCGCTTCACAGTCCATCGCGTACCCGTGCGCTCTGGCAGTTCTCCCGCAAGCTCAGTGGAAGCATCAACAATTCCGTCCTCCTTTCACGCGCATTCGACAGTTCTAATGATCCACGACTTGTTGTGAGTAATAATGACTGGACAGTTCGCCTCTACGACGTGCCCCTCCGAGCCCGTTGGGCACAGGACCTCAGATGCTGTGGGACCCTCAGGCTCAAGGAGCCTGTGAATCATTGTACGTTATCATCCCACGTGTGAGTAAATAACTCAACCCTGTGGATATGTATAGCCTCCATATCGCCCGACGGCCGCACCTTACTCTCAGTCGGAGACTCTCCTCGGATCTACCTTCACTCTCTTTCAGGCAGCGCTCGGCTTTCCTTCAATCGCGTCACAACATTGCAGATCCCGTCCGCCATCTCCATCCATCCCAACTCTCTCGTAGCGTCCTTTAGCACCGCATGGAGCGCCGACGGACTTAAGTTCGCTGTTGCTTGTCAAGAAGGAGTTGTCGCAATCTGGGACGTGCGAAGCACAAAGCCGCTAAAGGTGCTGCATACGGGTCGTGAGAGGGGCGGTGGTGACAACGGGTGGATGAGTGATGACCCATGGGACTGGGCACGGAGAACCTCACGTGCCCCAGGATGGGGTGCGCGGAGCGTCAAGTTCGGAAGTGGCGGAGTTGGCGCGCGGGCAGGCCACGAGGTAATGACGTATACTGAGGTGTGTCCGCAGTATCTTCGTTTTATACTCAGGTTGATCATGGTAATTTCTCAGCACACCAATCTCCTGCACGTCCTCGACGCTCGAACATTCGAAACGGAAGAAATCATCCGCGTGCCTAACATCTCTTGCAGCAAAACTCCTCCTGCTCATACACGCACCCTTCCACTACTTAGGCATTCAGGAGGGCGACTGAGTGCACGTGCCGCACGCCGCGACGACAGCGCTGTCGTCGTACCTCCGCACGGTGTACTGCCCCGGACGACGTCATGGACGAGCGCACCGCCCTCGAGAATGTCAGATCGAACAGGTGGCAGTGATGAGGGCGATACGATGGACCTCGATGAGCTCGAGGTGGACTGCTTGTCACGTGGAGGCTCGCCACCTCCAATGAACTTGCACCGCACCCCAAGTCCATATCGGCCCATCAGCCCATCGCCTCTTTCTTCCCAAACATACCGTCCCGCAAGTCCGCCGTATCGCCCCTCAAGCCCTCCGTACGGCCCCACAACCATAACACCCGTATTTCACCCCTACCTGCCAGTGCGTCCGCGGCGAACACATGGGGAGGAAGGAGAAGTCGAATGTGCAGGAACGGTGGCAGAACATGAAGATGCGGATATCGCAGGGACGTGCTTCGATCCAACAGGAGGTTTCCTGTACGTGGCGACGACGGCTGGTGTTGCTGAGTGGGCCGTACGTGGTTCGGAAAAACGCTGGTGGGGAAGTGGACAGTGGGCTTAGGGTCCCGTTCGTGCTTCCCTTCACATGTTTCAATGCACGCGTATGTCTTTTCAGGATTTTGGGACGTGTTACAAATACTTCTCTGCGGATCTGGTCATATGTACTCTTGTGCTCCAGTGGTTTGATCTACTACTCTGTTTCGGATTATTACTAGGGTCATATTGCTGTCTTCCTATCCCTTCTTTGTTGTCGTCTTTTCATGTGCACCTACTCACATTGTGCTTTCTCGTGTCTGATCGTACTCATCTCATGTACTGTACATACTAGTTGCATTTCTATATTCCGTTTCTGATGTTTGTATATATACGTACACACTCACGAACTTGATACCAAACACGCTAGTGAATTTATGATGTATCCATTTCTGTTGTACATCACTCTTTCATTGTATTATTGGGGCTATCCTTTGGTAGAATTTCTGCCAAGGAATAAGAGTTTTGACGCTTTGTCCCGGAAGGGGATGTGGCATAGCCAGCATGCTTCGCCCACACTTTCCAACCTCAACTGACTCGGATCATGTACTTGTACTCAATCGAAACCCCAAATATTATCATCGACGCTCTCTCAGCTCATGAGAGTATCCCAAGTAACCAATGATATGGCATTTGATTACTCCCATGCAAAATTATCGCAGATTGCCAGTGCTTTAATTGGCTATCGCGGCGCGTGCCGCGGCCGCGCTCACTGGCTACCAAGAGCTAAGCGCTAAGCCATGGCAAGCATGGATTGTGCTGATCCCGATCCACTAGGTATTGCGAATATACCTGAGTACTTACTACGTGATATAAACATGCATGACAACCTTTTACGAGGAATGGAGTTAGACTAGTCGGGCGATCCTCACTCCGTGATGCAGACCAGATCTCGAACGGATCAAACTGCCACTTCGATACCAATTGCAGAAGTTTGTACGTCTTATCTGGTTATGACATTGGCTGGATCGCACATCTCAGTCTTTTGATCTAGTAGCCGTTGAATCATTCCAACATGCGGGTGTCCGTAGTACGTCACATTATCTCCATCGATTATAAGTCTCGCTGGGTGGGTGAACAGATATAGCCAGTTCGAAGATATTTAGGGGCCCCGGCCCCAACGTGCCACTGAAGCTTCACGAATTGGTAAAAGTGGCATGACAGATGTACGACATGTACGTAGCAACTATCTCCAAGCACCTTTGAGTTCTCCGCTTGCCAAGGACGACCAGAGGACCAAGATAGGGCGTACTTCTGCAACCAAGCTTAGCTAGATCACTTGCGGCGCGTGATGATGATGATGATGATGATGTGGTAGGTAGCTGTTTCCTCGACAACCTTACGACCTGGAGAGTCCAGATTGATTTGCAAATCGCCAGAATCCCGCGGACTTTTCGCTTGACAAAACGTAGATTTCCGCGTACATATTCGCATGCAATTACCGTTGGGTGTGGTTGATAGTAGCGCTGAAGATCTCACGACGGCGATGTCTGAACGTCAGAATATTAGGATGCGCGAGCGATTCGTCTATAGCGAACGTTGAACGACGAATTTCTAGCTCTAGAAGGTCGAACTGCGGTCATCGTCTTCCTAGAACTGAAGCTCCTCGGCCGACCGAGACGCGCGCTTGAGCGACCTGACCTAGGATTGGACCGGCTGGACCTTCCACATTCAAGCGATATATATCTCATCGCTTGGTACTGCCTGGACTGCCTCCATTATCCGAGAACACACGTAACATTGGACCCACAGAGTTCATCAGCTCCAGGTAATCCGATTGACACAAAAAGTCAAGTAATTTCCCGTTGTATAGCAGTACTGCTCGAGGGCGGTACATGGAAGTATTAATTTAGATTCTGGAATCCACGGGCAAAATGTTGACACATACCGCCACGTGTACCCTTCTTAGAGTTCAGAAGTTGCAGAACAATTGTAGAAACTCGTGAACGCATGTCCGAGTCACCCGTATTATGTCGACACGGGAGATAAGGTCAATGGGGTAACGACGGCGATGGCTATGGAGCGCAGATCGGATGGCTGAACTGTATACCAAGGCTCAGCACTCAGCGCTGAGCGCTGAGCAGCCCTAAGCTGACTGACATTAAAAACTGACCCAGGGCACAAGGTTGAAGTTGTCAAGGGCCAAGGCATTATTGCAGTGGCATTGTTCCAATGACAGCTTAGTAAGCGAATGAAGTTCCACCAATCAATTAATTAGTCAGGTTCCTCAGCCAAGTTCTTCATCATGAGCACCGACGAAACGTCAACCGTAGTGGTAAAAACAAAGCCAGTAAAAAAGCTCAAGCCTGCGCGCAAGCAAGTAAAAGCGGGAGATGTAGAAAGAAAGGAGACGCCTCAGACGGGGAAAGAATATAGTAAGTGTCAATGATGTTGTCAATGAGGACTCTTCACGAGCGTAATTGCAGATATCTGGTACAACAAGTGGGCTGGAGGCGACCGGGAAGATAACTACTCCAAGTGAGTTTAATGCGTATCTATCTCTTATTTCAAGATCTGACTCTGCTGTAGCAAAGTAAAATCGCAAACTCGGTGCAATATCAAGAAGGACTCAGGCCTGACTCGAGCGAACACGACTGGTATTCGCTATTGTTGTCTGTTCTATGCGCGTGGGTGCTGTCCGTATGGGTGGGAGTGCGACTACCTTCACACTCTTCCTGACCCTGATAACGCATTACCTGATTCGAGTAAAGATTGTTTCGCTCGAGACAAATTCTCGGATTACAGAGATGACATGGGTGGTGTCGGTAGTTTCAACCGACAAAATCGAACACTATACGTCGGTCGAATCAAGGAGACCGGCCCAGGCCCAGAGACAGAAGAAATTGTCATCAGGCATTTCAAAGAATGGGGTGAAATTGAACGCAGTAAGTTATTGAAAGTTTCTGTAGAAACGGCATCTGAAACACGTCCCTACAGTCCGCGTGCTACAGTATCGTAGCGTTGCGTTCGTAACTTATGTCTCGGAGTTCGGTGCGCAGTTTGCCAAAGAGGCCATGGCGTGTCAATCCCTTGACAATGATGAAATCTTGAACGTTCGATGGGCCACCGAGGATCCCAATCCGGTACAGAAGGTGGCTGAAAAGCGGCGATTGGAGGAGATCGGGCAGGAAGCTATCAAGGCGCGGATGGACCCTCGTATTGTTGATGCCATGCGGGCTGTCCGTGCATTAGAGGATGGGGATATGCTGGATGACGAAGGAGAAGTGGTAGAAGACCCGGAATCTGGCGACCCAGAAGCAAAGCGGCGGCGAATTGAGCTACCACCGCCACAAGAAGCGGCATCAGAGCCACAACCTCAGCCCCTTGGTCTGCTGTCAGCCGACACAATGGAAGGTCTCAAATACTTTGCCGAAATAAGGAAGCGGAACGGCGTCTCGCTATCTGTTGTACATCCAAAGACAATACCTCCGAAACCATTGACTTCAGGGCTGGGAGTGGCGGACTACGGGAGTGACGAAGATTGAGGTCTGTTCAGTTCCATTTGCACCAATCGGTAACTAGTCTGATATCCGACCTGGCCAACAGCCCTTAATCTGGTTATTTCCACAAGCTAGAACCGCCTCCTGCTGCCAGCCGATAACCTTCGAACGTGATGAGCGCTCCGACTACCCATGACGACTCGTTTCGGCATAACTTCGTAACTACTATCATTGGAAAAAGCGCCTTCCTTTGCTCCATTAGCTGGCACTCTAGAAAATGTAAAAACGTTGCGCAAACATAATGAAAGCCCATATACTATCGACCTCCATTCCGATTATTTGTCACGATTGGTACATAGACTAGTTATTTCGATCGTTGCCGATCATTTGAGATGAACTCATTCGCCACTCTTGGCAAAAACAGATCCGGGCCTGGCAACATGTGCCTCCTCTCGCGCCCACATTCAGGTACCTTGGCCAGGTTGATAACTTCCAAAACTCCATAAACGGAACTATGAGGATCAAAATATACCCCAAACCTCAAGGCAATTGGCCACCTTACGTCTGTCACCGAAGCTCTGCAAAGTCTATTCCCATGAATGCCAGAGCCCACATCTCAGGCCATGTGCCCCGGATCTATATTTCACCAATCTCCACATTATGCCAGTGCATCGGAGAGCTTCGGAAATGAGAGATTATGGCCGTACTAATGTGGGTGAAACGTCATCTGGGTTCATGAACGTCAGTAACCACCTGGGGTTGGTGACCAGAAGCGACCAAGAATGGAACAGAAGAACTCAATCAGCCATTTGCATGAACATTAAGTGGTCGGCGAGTGAGTCGAGTCGCGTCCGACTCCGATTGCAAACCGACAAGGAGGTGCAGGTGGAGGGACTCAGATGAGTCCGATTGCGGCAATATTCCCCGGCATGTCAAACCAAGCAGCTGGGGAGACAAATAGTACGTGCTTGTTAGTTCAATGAGAACGGGCCTAACTGCAAGTGAAACGGGGATCTGCGTGATGGGATTATTCACCACCAACGATTCATCTTGAGGCAAGCCTCGGTCAACTATGAGTATTCCGTTGCGGGGGAAGCCGCTGTGGCAAGATCAGGCAAAACGTAATAACTCATATTATAAGACAAAAACTCCCCTTCTAAGGCTATTGCAATGGAAGTATACTCCAGGGAAATAAGCTGTGAAATCCCGTTGGCAAGCCGCAAGCGTGACGTGCTAGAAGAAATTTGAATCGTGAAACAGAGATAGACGCTGTGCTTACATACCTGTGCATGCAGCCCTGAGGGGCATGTGAAGAGTGCAGCGCCACGTACACGTTGTAAAGTGGCGGTGATTATGCGATTACTTTAGCATGGTTTGGCGTTGGTTTGGCGGGTGATTGGCCGCTCGAGCTCAAGGCCAAACGAAGAATCATTGTAAAGCAAATCATAAGTGGGCCCTGGACCGTCCTGCCTCCGTCTGATTTGCCACCTTTGTAATATTACTAGAAATAAATCTGGAGGCTGTGAGTAGTATGGCATACCCAAAATATTGTTTTTTCCACCATCATCGGACAGAAGGCGCCTGATATCATGATGGCGCGGGCCATGCTGCGGCAATGCAAAGCGATGCATGCTAGTAATACCACGAGAGTTAATAATCCGATAAATTGTGCTTATACAAGGTGTCCGTCGTTACTATCGATGCGGCTTGAGTGTCATGATCTTGAAATGTGGCAGGTGAAGATCATTATCTGGACTAGCGAGTGGTTGGCCTATGTGAAATTGTGGATGAATATAGTGGCGGTGCTGCCATTTCCTCACTCAAACTCCCAACCATCTACTCTGGATTTCTCTTCAGAAAGCACAGCGTTTTGGCTGGTTGGCTGGCTCATGACATGTTCGAGAGTCTCATGGCTATCCAAAAGAAATTCTATGCAGATATTCAAAGCGCTTTCCCCTCATTTCTCCCACTTAGCAGTGATAATTGAGTCCGGATAACTTGTGGGTTACAAGCAGGTTACAAGTGCCATGGCACGATAGAAGTCAAGTTTGCCATGTTCCGAATTGCACGACTGCGCTGAGTATTTCGGCACCTAGATGGAAGGCCAGATCTGTCAGATCTCCACCACATCTTGCCAGAACCTTGTGGAGACAGGCGTTTTTGGGCGTCTCCCCAAAAGAAGTTGCCGAGGTTTGTGATACCGTATAGTTGCCTCGGCGCTGGCTTAAATAGGATCATTTGTAGGAGGCTGGACCTCTATTTAATCGCGAGTCATCTTGTTCCGTGGTCTGTTATCCGCTCACCACTACAATGTCTTTTACCAACAACGGTCCCTCTCGTCGTGTGCAGGTGACATCGCTCCCTCACATTCATATAGAGTCACCTTCTGGATCTGAACAAATCAGACGCGCTCCCGCACAGTACGTTTGTTTTCGTACTTTCTATCGTTGACTCTCAACTCATACATCAGCTCGCATAGGCTCGATACTGACTCCTTTCCATTTACCATGTACAACAATGATCTGCCATTTACGTCTTCTTCTACACTTTTTCAAGAAGGATGTAAGTCGATGCACGTCGTGCTGTATGCTCGAGCTGAATAAATTCCCAGCTGAATCCTACAATCATCAATTCTCGCAATTGGATGATATAAGCCCTGATGATTTCCTGCAACTTCTCAACGAACCTCAGCAGCCGCAAGACATGTATTGCATTGAGCAATACATGTCTGGTCCTGATTTGTTTCCGCCGTCTCATGATACCTTCCAGGTCATTCCACCTTCCCCACCACCACAGACGATGTTACAGAGTACAACTGACAACATGCGCCTTATACCCATATATACCCCATCGCCCACCTCATCCTACAACACACTCTCCCCCAGCCCCAGTCACGAGTCGCCTTCGTCTCCATGGTCCGAAATTACCACCCCTTCTTCTGAGGGTAGCGTGTCCCCTATGATCCCCCATTTAAGTCTTTCGCGTCGGGGGAGCTCAGCTTCTCTCCGACACCACCATTCCCCAAGTGATTCCACATTTTATCTTCAACCCCCGGCCGTCGGCAGTAGGCATGTTCGCTCGCATTCAGAGTCAAGCATGACTCGTCCCGTCGCGAGTCAAGCCATGCTTGATGCCAACCAACGACGTCGGCGCCACGAAGCTACACATAGATGCGATGAATGTGGGCAAACCTTCACAGCTGTGTTTAGCTTAAAGCGTAAGTTCTATATGTCAAACCACCTCTTTCTACGGTGTCACTGAGATAAATGCAATAGGTCATATGCAATCTCATTCTGGTGTCCGACCATTTGTCTGCGGCGTTCCTGGCTGTAGTCAGGCGTTCTTCAATCAGAGCGACTGCAAACGCCACGAACGGAGCAGGAAGCGTCACAAGGGTCTTCCTTTTTCTGACTCACTTTAAACTTGGCGTTATGCTGCAACTTTTTCACTCGGGTCTGCCAAACACCCCGGTCGTTGTACACGTCACGTCGGAACTGGACACTCCTTTGTGCGCATTCGCGTCTTGGGCATGCAGGAACGATGGATACACCTCCATATTATCCTTGCTTCATTCCCCGCCATGCCAATCTTCAAGTTCGACACCCTCGATGTCTCATTTCATTTCGACTATAGATACCATTGGCCTTACATACCCTAATTTTTTGTGCCGTTCTCCCTATCCATACAATAAATTTCTTTGCCTTTTCAGTCCTCTCACTGCTCATTGTTGCCAATAATTATTGTATCATTCTTGCTATGTATCTGGATCCTGAGTTGCTATGCGTTGTCAACTGGCCTTGTCGACGGCAATCTCCTTATTCTCCTTGTCCTCCTTGTTGTACTACATCTCACTATGTAGCCTCCGGTGATAATCTAAGATCGTTTAGTTGTGCCCGCAATCGGCCATGGCACCGCCGAATCTACCCTAGCTGATTGCAACATTACTTCCCGCACATACCACGAAACCAGTAGAACAATTGGTTTTATGAATGAATTTCGTAATTAGAAAGTCAGAAGAACAAACCAACTAATATGACCTCACAGTACTACATAGCGACATTTCGGGATTGATAAACACACAGTGTACAGCACCGAGGAGCTCGACACATGGTTATCACAAAGTTTTTGCCGAGTTTGAATATAATTTGATCCCTGCAACTGGTATTTATGATCAGTTGACATTTATATCATGGGTACGTACGCACACTTGGTGACCAACTTTCCCGCGGACGCCCGTCAGGTAAGTCATATCATTGTTCTTGCGCTGAAACCTAGATCAGACTTAATAGCGGACTCAATAACGCGGTAGCGCATGGGGGATGCTATTGCGATCAAGCCAAGCTCGAGCTAAAGATCTATTTCATCACTGGTAACTTTGTCGACAATGATGGCATACATGCATGTCTGCTGCGCGCTCGTCTCCCTCCGCGGAGCGCCCCACGTACACACGCCTATATGCAGCCACTTGTCGATCAAGTAGATCGTTTCTTTCAGGCCATAGCAGATCAACAGATGGCGTCCTTGCGCTCATGATCCGGTTCGACATCTCAAAGTTGACTTATCTGTGACACAGTCCATTAGCTTCCGCGGTCCCGTCCCACGTGTAACGTATGATAGGCGACCTTGGCAACCACAATTTTGCGCTACCGCAGCTGAAGCTCGTTGAATCCTGAAAAAGGAAGGGTTTATTGTGTGATCCATGACATCGCTATAATTGAAAACATCAGACTTGGCAGATCTGATAGCGTGTACGTGCGGCATCTGGGCCCATGATTGAGTGGCCAAGAACCTTGAATAACTAGAAAGTTTGCCCCATGTAGGGGTATAAAAAAGTCTGGTGACGAGAGTATTGTGCTGTGGTGTGTCACGTTTAGTTAGCGTCGACCGTACTTGTCATAGTGCATTCATATCAGCATTAATGATAAGAGACGCCGCCACACACCAAGAAAGTTGACGTTTGTTAAGTCCACGGAAATCAGGGAACAATTGTAGCCGCTGCTGAATTGTAAATAAGATGATATTCCCTTTGCGCACTAAAAATATATGTCGTGATGATCCGTCTGGGAGATGTGTTGCCCACTGACGGTAGAAGAGTGCTATCCATCTTGCAAGGCACATGAAATCCAAGCGTGAGGAAATTTCACGAGATAAAATTCACAGATATCATATACACTTTTCAAAACGACAAGCTTTCAATTTACATGGCTATATAGCCATATTTCCTCGCACCAGACTAAGCAGTGCCTTTCGCGTAAGTGCCGGCCAGACATGACGTATTGGAAGACTCACAGAAACCAGAACGATGTTATCTTCACCGATCATAGCCGCCTCCCAGTCGCAAGGTGAATCACTCGACATCACTTCAACAGTCGCAACACGGCCAGGAAGATACGTGGTGACTTCTTCAACAAATGCAGAACACCGCGAATTCAGTGGCTGGGGCATTCCTAAGCGCCTCCACAGAAGTTTTGGTTCCGTTGTTTGTTCATTTTGAACGTCCCTCCTCGCTGCATATGTGTTGAAATCATACACTCTTGCGGTATTTCCTTTTTTCCATGGCAGAAGTTGAATGAACTTCATGCCGTAGACGTAGCAAACCCAGCTATCGGACGGGCTGCGAAGGAGCATATAAGAACCATTTGGGCCCCACTGCGTCCATGGGACAATGCGTTTTTGTGTATTACGAGACAATTCAACCTGAGCCATGATGGTGGACAAGGCGACGATTAGCACAGTACACTCTTCGTTGGAATTGCCTGCGGGGGAGACCCGCATGGTGATGGTGAAGATGCGGTCACTGCGAGCGGAAAAAAAAGGAGTTTGGACAGTTTGAGGCGGGGACCATCCTGGAGTCGGATCAGATCGAATCAACATATCAAGAACGTCGGCCTTCATCTTTGGATACTCCAGGCCGCAAATGTAGCTGACATCCTTATATTCCTCTGTCTCTTCCCTGAAACTGTCGATACTGAGGATGTCCAAACGAGGCATTTCGTCACTCTCCGCGGCGACGACGCCAACCAAAAGTAAGTCTTCTGTGACGAAAGAAAAAGATTGAAGGTCTGTGTCTTGAATGAACTTCGAACAGCTCTCAATAATCAACCTGCAGCAGCACGCGTGGAAGACGTACGAGCTTCTGCTGACCCGATTTCCAGTCCCAGACAACTAGCCGAGAGTTGGAATCATCTCCATGTTCTTGATACAGTATTGCAATCCGGGAACCGCAAACTTGGATAAGGAAGGTGAGCTCCTCATGCATGTCTGATAGCAGGTGCGTCACGAAGGACATAGTGGCCATTGGATGATGCTCGCCGGTCATTAAGGTTCTTAGGTGTACGTTGCATGTCTGGTTCGGGCTGTGCCATTCAGTATCAGACGTGCCTCTCAAAAACAGACGCATCAAAACGTACATGGCACCTACAATTTCCAAAGCGACAATCAAGTCCTGAGATGTATCGATGGTAAAATCTCGTATCTCAAATCCAAAATCATTGATAGTCCATTCCCGCTCGGGAATGTCCTTAAATTTGCAGGGAAGTTGCGTGCAAACAAGCCCTAACCGTGACCGCATGGCCTGACACAATACTCCCCCGGACAGTTCCCAAGAAAGACCACCCTGCATACTTATGATTTGGGAGTCTGGAAAAGCTAAGTTGTTCCAAGCCTGTTGGTATTGTCGGCAGGCACGAAGGCGGCCAGCAGTATCAAGATTACAGTGGCGTCCATTCTCGAACCGTCCGAAAAACAACTCGACTTTGTAGAGAAGTTGTGCGTTGGTGGTGATGACTGAACGAAATAATTGGCATACCTGGAATTCAGCGTGAGTAGCGGTTTGAGTGGTATACAATATGAGCATATACGGTACATACTTGTTTGCATCTCAGAAGAGATACTATATCGAGTTCATCGAAAACTATAGCGATCAACTCGTTCGGGAGACTGAATGCTGCCTCGACGTTTCCCTGCTGGTCGGTGTCCATGACCTAGGTTGAGTTAACTCTTTGCCACTGAGGTGGAGTTGGTAGCACTATGTAATTGACAATTTGAACGAGAATTTTTGTGTGAGGCGGTTCTTGAATGGGCGAAGAAACAAAACATTTGTGCCACTCACCGCTGACCAGTACCAAACTATGTTGGAAAAATCACCTTGTCGAGTCGCAAATAATGTTGGGATCAGTTTGATGATGGATCTCACTCAAAAAACACAACTCGAACACAGCTATGACATAATCAGATGAACCTTCTCACTCCCTAATGTTGCAGACGAGTCCACCAAGGCACTCCCTCGTCCTTTTTACAGACCACGTCGACCTATGGGCCTGGAGGATTGCGATCGATGGGGTGGTGGTGATGTTGAAGCCCGATGAAAGCAGTGAGGTACTAGGACCGATGCCACAGATGCTTGGACTAGGTACGAGCGCAATGAGTCGTTGTTTCGGACGAGTCTTTGGTCTCAAATCAATATGTTCGTATCTACTGCTTTAGCCGTACTTCCTTCGTCGTCTCAGCATCTCAGTCATCTTCCAGATACTGAGATGCGAGCATTACATTTCCGTTCCTTTGGATAACGAACCAATATAGGACTATACATTCTCGTTCTAACTCTTTCTCCCCCTCGCGTGTGCTTGCCTGTTACAACTTTAGGCACGTATTCTGAGTCCCCCATCAGCTCTCCTCAAATCCACCGACCATCCTTTCGTCTCATCCACAGTCGCCTTTAAATTATCAATCCTAAGATTCAGCATCTCAAGAGCATCCAAACCCATAGGCAACCGCTTCGGTATCTTTCCTCCCTGTACGACCTCATACACAGTCTGCGTTAACTTGTCTGCGTCTCCTTCCATAACCGCACCCTCTAACATCTGACGCAGCACGGAAGCAGGAAAGGACTCGTCGGCGTATGCTGGATGCTGCGCCAACACCGTTGCCGCTCCGTTTCCGTTTGTGTTGAATACCCCGGGTTCAATGATGCAGATCTGTTTTCTTGTTGTGAGTAAAACTTTATTGGTGGAAAGAACAACGTGCATTTATGTTCCAGGAAGCCGGCAGCTCTTTTGCAAGACCATCTGAGAATCCCTCCAGCGCTATGCATCACATCAATCATCAGCACTTTCCACTTCTCACATCAAGATTCCTACCATATTTGCTGCAAACCCATCAGGATTCAGCATCATCTCAAAGAACACCAAATGCAAACTGCACTCACGATGCAGCATAATAACTCATCCCAGGAAGCGCATGAAATCCAGCAACCGAACTAACTTGAAGGATTATCCCCCCCTTGCCCACTTCGTTCACTTCCCTAAAAAACTTCACAGCAGCGCGACTAACATTCGTCGCGCCCCAAAAATTGGTCTCGAAAAGCTCACGCGCTTTATCATCCGGCGTGCCCTCGATTTCGCTGATAAGTGCATATCCGGCATTGTTAAACACTACGTCCAGCCTTCCGAACGCTGAACGCGTGCGCGCGAATGCTTCGTCGATATCTTCTTGCCTCGTGACATCGACTTTGAGTACGAGGAGCTTGTCTGCTGAGTATTGAGCTTCGAGGTCGGATAGGACTTGTGGTTTGCGGAGGGTCGCTACTACGATGTCGCCTTTGCTGAGTGCGTACTCCGTCATAGATCTTCCGAATCCCGAGGACGACCCCGTTACTGTGTGTGGTGCGTAGTATCAGTAAAATTGCTAGTGAGTAGAAGAAACACTTACTGAACCAGACTTTGGGAGAGGCCATTGTAGCTACTTGACGATGTAATGATCCCCTGCCCTGGCTATGGCTTTTATGCCGTCCCGTCGTCCAACATGAGTCAAATCCATTTTTAGGGCATCATGAAAATACTGCGCCAGTGCTGCGACTGCTGCGGTGTTCTCAAATGGTGCCGGTGAGTGCGTATCAACTACACTTACTACTGCTTGTCTTACAAACGAGCCACATATTCGAGCGTGCTCCGATTCCTTATATGTATATCCACGCTCCCAGAGTCACGGTCAGGCGGCGCTTTTGTGCCATCCTATCATTCACCAGGAAGCCCATCAATCAAACACATTTTTATGATCCGTCCATTAATGCGTCCGACAGATCTCTTTGCACAGGAATGTACGTCATTTCGGCACTTTCAAAGAACTTCATATATCCAATACTTGGCGATCACCATCTACCCGACTCATTACTTACTGTACTCCGCAAGTCTCGGGATATACATGACTAGCAACGCTTTTCGGTCCCGGTTCCTGGTGATTATCTGACCACTTCGACTCACATCAGCCAGATGGACTGCTGATTTCCCCTCACCTCGCGGGAAAACCCGGCATTTATATCGTCCAGCAGGAAAACAATAACGTCGGAGATCCATTGTCTAAATTCCACACTTGCGTAGGCTCTGCTTGTGTCACAGACGAAGCTAGCTCTGTAAGTAGGTGAGCGGGTCACAGACTGGATTATTAAGGAAAAGACTGACGTAATGGTACAGGGTGATTCAAATCATTTGATGCAGGAGCGGAGCAGAGGTGCTCGATTAGGATTCAGTGACTCGGTACAAGATAACATTGGCAAGAACTTGGACAAGAAATCACTGTGGCAGCAGAGTATCCGACTTCATTGACGAGTACTCAGACCAAGTTGTTCCAGGGCCGACATTCTGTTTATGCAATGAAATCAGTACCCGCATGTATATTGCATATCCAGACGACCCACGCTATATCGAACTTGTCCCATATATTCCGCCAGGACTATTTTTCCAGGAGGTAGGATTGCATAACCCATTGACAGCGATTGAATATCTAAGGCTTTCGTTAATGTTGCAGACGCGTTCATCAAACTCCCTCATCCCCATTTACAGAAACTATGTCAACTCACGGGCCTAGAGGCTTGCGATCGAGGGGGGTGTTGAAGTCCGATGAAAGCAATGAAGCACCAGTGCTGACGTCACAGGTGTCGGACTAAGTAAGAGCACAATGAATCGTTATATCAGCCATGCCTTCGGTCTTAAATCAATATGTTCGTATCTCCTACTTTACTTGTACTTAAAAGAATGCCTTCGTTGTCCTACTGTCTCGGTCATTTTTCAGATACTGAGAAACGAGCATTGCGTTTCTGTTCATTTCGATGACGAGCCAATGTAGGACTAGTATACATTCTCATTCTAGCTCTTTCTCCCCTCACGTGTGCTCGCCTGTTACAGCTTTAGGCACGTAGCCTATTCTGAGTCCCCCATCAGCTCTCCTCAAATCCACTGACCATCCCTTCGTCTCGTCCACAGTTGCCTTTAAATCATCGATCCTAAGATTCAGCATCTCAAGAGCATCCAAACCCATAGGCAACCGCTTCGGTATCTTTCCTCCCTGTACGACCTCATACACAGTCCGTGTGAACTTGACCGTATCTCCTTCCAAAACAACATCCTTTAGCATCTGACGCAGCACGGAAGTCGGAAAGGACTCGTCGGCGTATGCTGGGTGCTGCGGTAACAGCGTTGCCCCATCGATTCCTTTTGTGTGGAATGCTCCGGGTTCAATGATGCAGACCTGTTTTCTTGTTGTGAGTACAAGTTTATTGTTAGAGAGAACAACGTGCATTTATGTTCCAGGAAGCCGGCAGCTCTTTTGCGAGACCATCTGAGAACCCCTCCAGCGCTATGCATTAAATCAACCATGAACACTTTCCACTTTTCTCGCATCAAGATTCCTACCATGTTTGCTGCAAACCCATCAGCATCATCTTAAAGAATATTAAATTCAAACCGCACTCACGACGCAGTATAATAACCCATTGCGGGAAGCGCATGAAACCCACCTACCGAACTAACTTGAAGGATTATCCCCCCCTTTCCCACTTCATTCACCTCCCTAAAAAACTTCACAGCAGCACGACTAACATTCGTCGCGCCCCAAAAATTTGTCTCGAAAATCCCACGTGCTTGATCATCCGGTGTGCCTTCGATTTCGCTGAAAAGTCCACATCCGGCATTGTTGAACACTACATCTAGCCGTCCAAACGCCGAACGCGTGCGCGCGAACGCTTCGTCGATATCTTCTTGCTTCGTGACATCGACTTTGAGTACGAGGAGCTTGTCTGCTGAGTATAGAGCTGCGAGGTCGGAAAGGACTTGTGGTTTGCGGAGGGTCGCTACTACGATGTCGCCTTTGCTGAGTGCGTACTCTGTCATACATCTTCCGAATCCTGAGGACGACCCCGTTACTGTGTGTGGTGCTTCGTATCAGTGAAGTTGCTAGTGAATAGAGGAAACACTTGCTGAACCAGACTTTGGGAGAGGCCATTGTAACTTGTCGACGATGTAATGATCCCCCTGCTCTGGCTGTGGCTTTTATGCGTCCTATCGTTCACCAGGGACTTGGCATCAGTCAAATACATTTTTTACGTTCTGTCTATTAATGCGTCCGATAGCTGACAGATCCCTTTGCACAGCTGAACGTACATTTTGGCACTTTCAAAGAACTTCATATAGTCAATACGACGGTAATAACCGTTATCTGCCCAATTTATTACTTGCTGTACTCCGCAAGTCTCGGGATACACATGACTAACGCTTTTCGGAGTTGGGTTTAAGTTCATTACGTTCTGAACCAATAGCGAGGATTCACACTCAGGCCGAACATGAAGATCTGGCAGCAGGAGCACTCCTCTCAGCAGCATTACCGGTCTCAGGTTGCACGTGTCAAAAATCAGTGGAGTCATCGATCCTACCAGAGCGGACAACTTTCAAAGCCATGCCCTGGCCCTGTTATTGGTCTCAGATATGGACAGTTTCAAGCAAAAAGTCTCATCCCTTTTACGAGACTATCCCCAAGACAAAGCCATAGATAGAGTGGTGGCTTCGTGATAGCCATGCTCAGATGCTATTTCCTCCTTTTCAGAAGACGAAGACGAGTCTATTCCAGGTAATGCCAAACTCTACTAATGCAGAAGAAGCGATGCATGCCAAGCTATATACCACAGTTGGCAAGCGCTACAACTTGATGGAGAGGTTGCTTTGCTTGCACTCCAGATACTGAGATGCGAGCATTACATTCTCGTTCTAGCTCTTTCTCCCCTTGCGTGTGCTCACCTGTCACAACAGCAACTTTACTCCCCCATCAGCTCTCCTCAAATCGACTGACCATCCCTTCGTCTCGTCCACAGTCGCCTTTAAATTCTCAATCCTGAGATTCAGCAGCTCAAGCGCATCCAAACCCATAGGCAACCGCTTCGGTATGCTTCCTCCCTGTACGACCTCATACACAGTCCGCGCGAACTTGTCCGCGTCTCCTTCCCAAAGCGCACCCTTTAGCGTCTGACGCATCACAGAAGTCGGAAAGGACTCGTCGGCGTATGCTGGATGCTGCGGTGACACGGTTGCCTCTCCAAGTACGTTTGTGTGAAATGCCCCAGGTTCAATGATACAGATCTGTTTTCTTGTTGTGAGTACAAGTTTATTGTTGGAGAGAACAACGTGCATTTATGTTCCAGGAAGCTGGGAGCTCCTTCGCAAGACCATCTGAGAACCCCTCCAGCGCTGTGCATCAAATCAATCATCAGCACTTTCCATTTTCCTCGCATCGATATCCCTACCATGTTTGCTGCAAACCCATCAGCAATCTTAGAGAACATCAAATTGATGTCGCACTCACGACGCAGCATAATAACTGAACCCAGGAACTGCGTTAAACCCACCAACCGAACTAACTTGAAGGATCATCCCCCCTTTACCCACTTCATTCACCTCCCTAAAAAACTTCACAGCAGCACGACTAACATTCGTCGCGCCCCAAAAATTGGTCTCGAAAAGCTCACGTGCTTTATCATCTGGCGTGCCTTCGATTTCGCTGATAAGTGCATATCCAGCATTGTTAAACACTATGTCCAGCTGTCCAAACGCCGAACGCGTGCGCGCAAATGCTTCGTCGATATCTTCTTGTTTCGTGACATCGACTTTGAGTACGAGGAGTTTGTCTGCTGAGTATCGAGCTGCGAGGTCGGATAGGACTTGTGGTTTGCGGAGGGTTGCTACTACGATGTCGCCTTGGCTGAGTGCGTACTCCGTCATACATCTTCCGAATCCCGAGGATGACCCCGTTACTGTGTGGTGCTTGATATTAGTGAAGCTGCTAGTGAGTAGAAGAAACACTTACTAAACCAGACTTTGGGAGAGGCCATTGTAATTTGTTGGCGATGTAATGATTCTCTTCACTGGCTATGGCTTTTATGTCGTCTTATCATTCACCGGAAACGTCAGTTAAATGATCCGTCCATACTGTTAATGCGTCCGACGAGGCTGACAGATCAACATGCCTTTGTGCAGTTGAACGTACGTCATTTCGGCACGTTCAAAAAACAGTCAGTACTTTGTAATCACCACGTACACGACGTACTACTTATCACTGCATTCCGCCAGTCTCGGGATGTACATAACCAACGCTGTTCAGTCTTAGTGATTATCTGACCAGTGCAAGTTACCAACCATCAAACTGCTGATTTCTCAACTCGTGGGCGAACCTTGGCATTCATATTGTTCAGCAGGAAAACCGTACCGTTGGAGATCCAGTGTCTATAAGATACCATACCTGCGTAGGCTGTGCTCGTGTCTCAGACGAAGTTGAGAATTGCTAGCTCTATAACTGGGTTAGCGGGTCGCAGTCTGAATTATTAAGGAAAAGAGTGACGCAATGGTACAGGGTGATTTAAATCATCTGACGCAGGAGCGAAGCATATAGGTGGAGAGGTGCTCAATCAACATTCAGGAACTCGGTACAAGACAGCATTGGCAAGAGCTTGGACAAGAATTTCTGTGGCACAGCAGAGTATTTGACTTTATTGACGAGTACTCGGACCGAGTCGCTAAAGGGACAATATTTTGTCGTTTATGCGACGAAACCAGTACCCGCATGTACATCGCATGTTTAGACGACCCATGCTACATCGAGCTTGTGCCATGCATTCCGCCGGAACTATTTTTCCACGACGTAGAGTTGCATTACCCCTTGTTTTTTTGAGCTGCACCTGGGAATTGCGTAGGCATTGATCCTGGCCTTGGTTTCGGGAAGGTCGGGATGTAGCTTCGTGAGGAAGAAACGAACAGTCTTATAAAGCCACTCCTGAGACCCTGCATCTGATCATTACATTGCGGGGTTGGAAGAATTATATCGATATGGACCGTTTCAAGTTGGCACGAGGATCGCGCTGTTGGTCTTGCTTGGCTTCACCAAGCTGAGCCAGAGCAGTTGAGAGTGATACAAACAGACAGCGCCTGGACGCACCTGCATGCTAGACATAACTCCATTGAGGCTTTGGAATTATAATTGGAACTTAATGGGCGACGCGTTCGGTGCTGCTTCAGATTCCGTTAACTCCTGAAACTAACATCGCCAAGGCCTCGACTTGTATAGAGTAAGTACATTCATACTTGGGGCAAAACCAGTCCAAGCATTAGTCCAAGCCAAGTTCACGGATCACAAACACCCCAATATTGAAAGAGCGATCGACCTGCCGATGTTCGTGCTATTATAGCACATGACGCCCAAGATTGCAACCTTCGCAACAGGACATACCTGATATATCAAGTGTAGATGAATCGCAATCACGATGTGCGTCGTTCTGTACGAGACACGTGAGAACATCCGTAGGTTCAGGGGAGTGACTAATGATTGAATTCGTTGGTTGAGGGCTGATAATAGATAATGGAGATGATCATATCAAACTCACGCAGCAGTACAACATTACTTGCATCCCTGGATTATGACTAGCATGATCGGAGAGGTGAGGATAGTGTATCCACAGCAGCTGCGCACACTGCATGGGTGACCCTATATACGAGAGCATCCTTGAGCTTGAGCCATAGCAATGATGCAGTCAAAGCTGTAGACTCCTTTCAAGTAGAAAATATCACAATTGTGTCGTGATGTCGGTGCCGAACTGCAATCGAGGCGAGGCGTGTCTACAGGAATACAGCATTCATCGAGGTACAAGGCACACAGCCATGCCGCGTCTGGAAACTAGTGAGGGAGCTGAAACCGACTCAGGACTGCAAGTCTGTCAGCACGCGGTGCAAGTGACACCATATCACAGCTCCGAGTTGACCGTCGCTGCCTACTAGAAGACAGCCCAACTCGGTTGACTCAAGGTCGATATAAACCGGCAGAAGGCGACGATGAAAAGACTCCGTGATGCGGTGGGGGCTAAACCTAGAGTAAATGAAGTGAATTTATGTGACTTTGTAATTTGAATCAGAAATACGAAGAGACAGCCCGGCTGGCGGAGTAGTGAAAGGGTTCTGGCCACGTGCACCAAGTGGGCGTTCAAGCGGAGTTGCAAGATTGATAGCGCCTGCCACAGTGCCGCTCCTTGAGCTCTAGTCCTCCCGCCCTCCCGTTCACCACCTGCTTCTACACTTACCACCTACCAAATTACATCTTTTTTCTTCTGCTTTTTTCTTTTGAACTGATATTTCAGTAGGCAGTACTCCAGCTGCACCCTCCTGCTTTTCAGCATCTGCCACTAACTTCTCGTGCCTGATTCAGAAGTTACTAATATGCTACATGTTACTGCTCTCCTAGAACCTGCACCTGCTGCCCTTTCACTGTTATAACTAATGGAACCATTGAACACCTCGTGCTCTCGTACCGTCTACATGAACCTTCCCACACATTGTGCACCCATGTCTCGTGCCCGACACTTCCCACCCACTCCCCAGTGCTTCTCCGCCTGTCTCACTCGTGATCCAGGTTATGTAAATTTGATGTATTTGTAGATTTCTTCGTACGACTTGAGCGGACAAAATTTAAGAATTTACTGATAAGACCGTACTACGTACTGCTGCGCACCCACCACGATCGTTGAACACACGCTGTTTTAGGATCACCACTGGTTTAAAATTCCGACCGAAGCCCCAGAATGACCCCTATAGTTAGATTTTGAACGTTCTCGATGGGATTGCAAAGCTTGAGCTAGACCACATGAGTAGGAAACCCTGTTGCCGATAGGACATTAAGCGGAGAGAATTTAGTATTGAGTTTCAGACGATGCCAGACGATGTCGACGAAGTTCCAACTGGCAATAAACGCGTAAGCTTGTGACAAAAATAGCTACCGTGTATGTAAAATTGAATAATTAAGGTTTAAGCCACTTAATGTGAGTATATGCCAAGTCGAGTCACCAACATGGTATAATAATATCATCGATACGACGCCTCGCTCCTGGCTTCTGAAAACGTTAATTTTGATTTCCTTGCCAAGTCAAAATATGACATTAAGTCTTGCAGGCTGAGCAGCCTGATCACTCCCTTTGGGACACGTGCTTCCAGTCTGCATTGTGGCGGTTGTAACATTGCAGCTGGACGCTGAGTCAAACATCGGAACCAAATCTAAAAATTCCAACGTAACGTAAGTCTTCTAGGCTTATTTCTTTGCACTAGCCCCACTCTCGGTTTCGCTGATAATCGATAAGCACTGCAGGCAACTCAATTTTCACAACAGCCATGGCCTAGAATGAGCCTACTATCGCGAATACCTAGTATCCGATCACGGAGTTCTCCAGATTGAGCGTGTTGTAGGTGCGCCACTAACCCAAGAAGAAGATTGCATCAACATTGCGGTATTTCTCCCCTTTCGTTCAAGTTCCGTTTTGATTTTACGGAATCGATGGGGCTCCACAGAATGCCCACTGCCGGCCTTACACAACCCGACTATCTGTCCAACTTTGTAAATACCTCGCTGGCGACGAGGACCACCGTTCAATATGTCTGCACCCAGCATAGAACAGACTTTACTCGCTCAATTGACACAGCAAGGCTTTCACATAAGATCCTTTCGGCAACGAAGACTAGGCGCTCATCCGGTACGCATTTTGTCGACATTGACATTGTAACCGCAGCACTGACAAAGTACTCGTTCAGGTTTTTGAAATCTCACTAGCAGGCGGTCAAACCGTCTTGATGTGGTTGAGACCCACCTCTTCTGACATTGAATGGAGTCAACGGCTCTTTGAGAGCGAGACAGCTCTCCTCCGCTGGTTTTCTACACACTCCGCAGTACCCGCGCCACATCTTTTGCATGTCATGCCAAATAGCGCTAGAATCGCTCGGAATGCTTTTGTCACGCAGGGTTTCACAGGTGAACCCATCAAAAACTTATACCCGACGTTGTCTTCACGCGCAAAGGTTTGTCTTTGTATGGTTCATTGCGTTATCCGATCGCTTGAAAATATTCAAAAGGAGCAACTGGTGCGGTCATATGCGGATTTTGCACTCAAGTTGTTCGACATCAATGTCCCACAAACGATCGGCTCTATCTCTGTTACGAGTTCATCGGATGAACTCGTCGTAATACCGCGGATTTACAATGCTAATCACGCCCATACCTCTGAGGTTTTTCCCACTTTGCAAAAATACCTCGAATACCTCTCCACATTGAAGACAAGACGCGCATTCACTTCAGACGCCGGGGATGAGAATAGATTCCGAGCACAAGCATCCATATCACAATTAATTGCGCACCTGCGGGGGCACTTGACTCAACTCGATGAACGGTGTGTTCGTCACATGGTACTGGCACATGACGGACTCGGAGACATGAATTTGATGGTTGATTCCTCCGGCAACATCACTGGTATCTTAGACTGGTGGATGAATTCGACATTGCCTGCTATACTCGCTGCAGAGTATCCCCCTTGGCTCAGATACGATGGAATCAATGACCCTCGATTTGCTGCTCCGAAGAAATCGTGGCTAGAAACACCGGAAGAAAGCGCAAGACTACGAAGAATATACCAGGGGGTATGACTCGCCTTTCATCCTGATGGTTATTTGCTCATACGGCTACCGCGGCAGGCTGTGAAAAACAATGACGTTTACTACACCGCACTAATGCAAGGCACTCAATTACGAGCGGCTGTAGGTTGGGTATTTGACGTCGAAGATGACCCGTGCTGTGCAAGAATGAAACAGTGGACGCTGAGCGCTTTTGGTCCCCAAAGTGGAAGCCCCCAAAATGATAGTCAGTGCATTATTACATAGCTGCTGAGTCTTCTATCAGCTGCAGAGTCTTCTATCAGCTGCACATGGCCCGGACGTATTTCAGATAGTTCTTGTCTTATATTTTCATGTCTTTGTGTATATTGCTTTTCTTGTTTAAAGTTTGATGCGGGCGTTCAGCGAAACTCTGTACACAACCTTTTACTCACACACGCAACGATGATGCGAATAAGCCGTCAAGATGTTGATAACGATCTAACGACCTAGACAGGAACACGTGATACTGCTCTCCGTAATAAATTAAACTGAGCAATTGCCCATTCTAATGGTGGTGAGCATCATGGTGTTCCACGCCCTGGAAATCAAGTACATAGACTGCAAAATTTAAGCACAGATTACACAAGAAACAGCCAAATACTCACCAGAGCCGCATTCAGGGCAACGGCGGTTTTTCTCCTTCTTAACAGTAAACCAATGCAACTCATGGCTTTCGGCTGGCGAACCAGTGCATCCAACAATACGAGACGTGTCCTAGAATAAATTTAGCAAGACGCCACGATACATCGTTACGACGCAAAACATACCAGTGAAAAGACTTTAATCGGGTCTTCAAGAGTACCCACGCGACTCGAGTCAAGAGGCTCCAAGTCGAACGCTTCAACACCATGCATCTCTCCAAGAAGCTGGAAACGTTCCAGACCAGTCGCTTGTTGCTCGTCGGAAGGAATTTCACCGGCCTTAGCACCCTCTCCGAAGAGTGAAGGAAGGGCGGGGCCCGAAAAACGGGGAGTGGTGGTGGAAAGAGCACGGAAAGCGGTGGAGGGGGTTGACCTGCGCGTGCTACGCACGACAGGGCGGACGGCACGAAGGGCAGCGTTGAACATGGTGTGCTATGAAGTTGAGGCCTGGTGCGAGTTGGGAGTGACTTTGAAAGTGTCTGTCACGTGTGACGGCGTGACACGCCCCCGTCTACCTCCGACGACTTGCAAGTTTTTTTTGCTCGAGGCAGAGTACTCAGACAGCACGTGGCTCAGACATTCGAACCTTCTTCTGATTATAATATCTGGCGAAACGTTCAACTTTATGTCTTGGAGTTCTCAGTTACAGTTGAACGCTGAATCGCGTCTTGGAAACGTCCAAAGTAGGACCCACCAACATTAGGCTTAGAACCGTGCTCGATCATACACGTCGAGCACCTCAACATGCCACTACGGCAGCCACGCACATCGGCAGTCTCCCTAGATTCAAAAGCTCGCATACCTGTTTTGCACTGATGCTGACATTCCGTCGGAAGTGTCTGCCGTTTACTCGGTATGTATACAATACCATCCGGCTGGCTCGGATTGCCAGCATTGTATCTCATAATGGGCATCGCGGCGAGCGTCGTAACCTCGGCATCGATGACATCGCATTTCTCATCAATATCCTTCGCCGAAATCCCACCATGTACCTGGATGAGCTACAGCGCGAGTTATGGACGTCGTGATGCGTATCCGTACATACCCTTCTCCGCACCCTGAACAGGCTACAATACAGCCACAAGAGTATCTCTACTTGTGCTCTCGAGCGTCAAGAACGATGTGCAATCATATTGCCGAGATAGCTTCTGACCCGAAAACGGTGACGAAGCTGCGAAAGATGAAGGATACTGATTAATAATCTGTCGATTCAGAAGTTCGAATACTGGAACGAGGTTTGCTTCATTTACAGCTTAGTATGTACAATTTCTTCTATGTGACCTTATACAGTGATATAATAATTGTACTTCGCAAACATAATTGTGAGAAAGTCGATTGGTAATTGGGCGCGGAAACATAAGAAATGACTTCTTTGACCTTCACAGACTTCACTTCCTTGACTTTGGTTTTGCTATTACTTCCTGTCAAACGATCTCCCACAGTCCCCGCTACGGCCGGCGGTTTCACCCAGTCTAATGAGCCATTCACTGGGAAAACAACAAAATACCCGATAGCGTTGACATAGAAGTAGTGGCATGTACAATAAATTTGCTATCATATCGCCTGGGAATGGCAGATGTGTGAATACTCATCGATTAAAGGTGACTGTTTGAGATCAAATCTCGAGGTGGGCAAGGGTTATTGATAGGCAATGCGGGCAGCGGGCTCGCACCTAACCTGATGTAGGCATCATATTGGATATTACTTGTGTGGTCAGCTTTGCCACCTGGATATTAGAGGGAGGTGGGCTGGTTTGCTTCTGAATGATAGATAAAAAGAAGTGTGTGATTAATTTATGGATACAGTTGCGTTTTTTATGGTACTTCCTAGGATTTGTATTCCTCATGGCGGGCCATCTTATGTAGATGATGAATCCCTTCCCTCCTTCCCCACTGAGCACATAATGTTCATTAGCAATCAATATGGCTCCCAGTGTTGAGCGGTGCGATGGTGAATCCAGGTAAAAGCGCTGAAGGACTGGATCAGGATATTCAACGAGCGTATGGCAGAAGCTTACCGTGCCGTGCTGAAACCAGTGCCTTGCCCTCGCCACTATTTGTCGATGTAACAGGGAGTAATCAATTCTGCATGCACCTATCAGCATGTGACTATAAAGAGCAATTTCGATCAAATAGCAGCGCTAGTTCGTACTACATACCCATGAAGAAAATGGCAGTCCAGATTAATTGCAGCCTTGATAGCCAGACTTCGATGTGCCCTTTCCCTGAACAGGTGCCAATCATCAAAAACACACTGATACGCAACTCGGTTGGTGATCAAGGTCAAAGAACCCCGGGCCATCGAAGAAGTTGGGACCATGACTTGAGAGTTGAGTCACGGCTAGTGAGAAGTGTGCGCCGGGTTAGCTAAAGACAACTAGGACAGATGGGCGACTCGATAAGCAGTTACGAGGTTGCTGGCAGTGGTACATGATGGTTCTAATGTCCTAATTGAAGGTTTGCGTCCATTCGTGGTGTTAGATGCTTGAATTTCGTCCATGTCGGGTTTGAGTTTTACGCCTGGCGTCGGGAGTCAGATTATAGTGGAGTTAACATCTCATTTCCGCAGCGAGTGCGACAAATTCTGTCTGACTTCGACGGTTGATGTGACTTCGACACCTGTGGCTACGTCTGACTTTTTTAAGTCAAATTCGGTCCCGGAGGTTATTTCCATAAAAGGTAGGCGTTTACGAACGAATGATGCGCTAGAATTTGTTTCATGCCGAGAATGCAAAATGAACTGACAAGATGCCGTTTTACAAACTTATACATATACCAGTAACATACAGCGAACCAGAGACTAGTGGTGACGCCATCTCCCTCCTTTTCCTTCACGCTCACGCGCGAAACTCGCGTCCCCGCTCCTCATGTCTTCCATCTCACCAGGGTCCACTACGTTAGACATCCTGCGGGCTTACAGCTATCCTCCGCCCCCTTCAAGTTCATCTCCGGACGCGACAGGACCAACCGATAGACCCTCAAGAGATCTTCACTTGTCTCTCCAGGACACAGTTTCTAGATATTCCACTATTTCATGCAGCCCAACTTCAATTCTATTTACTGGGGACAAAGGCTTGTCGAGTGAGACCAACGAATCGCCCTTTCGATGGAATTTATCCTCCCCCGTGGAATCTGTAGGTGGTGAGCCACTGCCTGGTGGCGGAAAGGGGCAGGTATCCGAACCCACAGAACACATCTGGCAGGGCTGGAGAGTCGTCTTATTCGGTTCATGTAAGTGCATCTCGGTTTGCTTGTCCCTTAGTACCCGTGCTAAACTTGACGGTCGTAGGGTTCAACCTTTTATTGTTGTTGATTCCTGTTTCTGTGAGTGACCGCCTTCACACATCCTGTTGGGTTCACTGATTATCGCGCTACTATTCTAAGTGGACACTGAGCTTCGTGCTTGAGAGACACCACAAGGTTATATTCATATGTAAGCTACGTCAAATTCTTCTTGAAGCATGAAATGACTCTTCCAACAGTCAGCATCCTGTCCATGATCCCTCTCGTAAAGGTATGACACACTCTTCCATTGGTCGACTGAATCGAGCGTTCCTTTCTTAGCTTCACGATCTTTCAACTCGTGAGCTGGCCCTTCGTATCGGAGGCACAAAGGCTGGTTTGCTTAATGCGAGTATGGTAAGTCATATTCTATTAACGATTGGATACTCCTCAACCTCTACGTATGCAGAGTAATACGTGAGTTTAAGCTCCTTGGCTATTGATAGCTGTTTGACGCGCATCTCACAAGTGTCGAGATGGTTATTGCAGTAAGCGCTGGACCTGTATGCGTGAGAATCTGCTAATATGTTTTAGATCACCGCCCTCAGGAAGTGTGAACTAAGAGTCGTACAATCTTCGCGTAAGTTCAACGAACATATTTGAGAATTTAATCTGATACTCTCAGTAATCGGTTCGATTTTGAGCAAGCTACGTATGTCGTGCATCTCTCCCTCATCTAATAACGATCCTCATATTTTTAGTCCTTGTTCTAGGAATGTGCTTCTTTGCAGGCGGGCTTCGCTTCTCTGAGCAAGGGTTCGGCCAGAGTGAGGTCACATATGTGATAACAATACCGAGATAGCTAATAGATCTTCCAGCTGCTACACAGATACATTCATCACTCCTGAGTATCAGTGTTGGGGCTCTGCTCCTCCCTGCTGCGTATCATTTTGCAATCAGTGGCGGAAAGGATTCTGGCTCCTTTGAGCAGAAGGATGATATTCTGAAGATGAGCTATGGCGTAAGATTCGTTTTGACTTTACTGAAACTCGCTCTGATCAAATTGTCGTAGGTCTCCATCATACTCATGTTTAGTAAGTCCTGGGCTCATGTGTCCTTCGAGAACCACTTACGATGTATGTGGACAGTCTATGTCGCCTATCTTCTTTTCCAGTTCTGGTCCCACAAGCATCTCTATCAAGATTCCAAACTCAAGAGTAGCAAGCTATCGGTCAAGATACCAGTTCATTCGCGTTATCTAACCGAAATGCTATCTTCATCCACGACCCTGAACGACAAACCTAGTATGCATGATATTCGGAGTTTGACTTCTCGACGTGTTTCAGCGCTGCCCAAATTGCCTTATAAGAACTCGCCGTTGAATTCTGCCTCTGAGATCACGTTGACAGGGAGCAAGGAGCATCTTCCGGAGACCACTAAGCAAGGGGTTACACAGGAGTCTACCAATCAGTCGTCCGAGGGAGTGTCACGGCAAACTACGCAAAGCGAGCACGATCATGTAGATGGCAGCACTGTTGCCCCCTTAAATCCGCCTTGGAGTACATCACCAACGGCATCCGCCGTTGATACCGATCCTATCCGATGTGCTTCACCAGAGCCTATGACTGCCTCTGAAGGTGCGGATCTGCACAGGTCGCCGTCAGCAACGAATAGTTTCAGAGAGCCGCAGCTTAGCTGGATGGTCACCCTTCTGTTATTGACATTGGTTACTATTGTAAGTGATGAATCAGTTCGAATGGGTACCTGTCAGTGACTCCTCTAGACGGTGACTATCACTGCTGAAGATCTCGTGGAATCCATGGACGGAATCTCAACGACAATTAGCAAGCAATGGGTCGGTCTTGTCTTACTTCCTGCAGTCAGCTCTATCGCAGGTATGTACAAGATACTCCTGATTTTGGGGCACTTTGACACATTGGCTATGCAGAATGCGTTACTGCAGTCAATACTTCTGTGAAGGACCAGCTAGATCTGAGCGTGAGCATCGCTGTCGGGTCGTCGATAGTAAGTCTCCTTCACTGTTTCTTGTATCACGATGCTCATGTTAGCATAAGCAAACCACTCTCTTGGTTATTCCGTAAGTGCTCGTCATATTCAACATGCTCTGATACCGAATCCTGGGACAAGGTTTATGATCACTCTTGGATGGATCATGGGCAGGCCACTGGCTTTGCTATTCGACCCGTTTGAGTCTGTGGTAGGTGCTGTTCCAATCCATCAGTCCATCTGTAGCTAAGCAGATATATAGGTTCTTTACGTTGCAGGTATGCTTCGACCTTTCTATGAAATATGCACTCTCTAATCATCTTCATGCAGTGCAAACCATGAGTATCGTGGTTGCGGACGGGAAATCAAATTGGTTAGAGGGTATCATCTTGATCTGTGAGGAGGTTCAGTACTACCCGTGGGCTATCGTACTCAATATTCCCGCAGGCTTGTACGTTATCATAGCCGTTTCCTTCTGGTTCTACCCTGGTGAGGTCAACAGTCATGTGACGCCTTCAGATACTGATCCATCTTCCACAGTTTCCTCGAGCCTCCCAAGCGAACTTGCTGTTTGCATATAACGATGATCGGCCTTTAGAACATTTTCTATCTTGCGTCCTGGGGTTGTATTTACCCTGTAGAGTAGAACGCCCATTCATTCACCTACGGGTGTTGTCCTTCGTTTCACTTTCACATTCTTTACGGAATCGTCATTCATTTACTCCACATCCTACTTCACACACACTGTACGACATCTGAACTATCTTCGACAGTAGAACATTTAATTGATGTACTTTATTTACTACTTGAATATGATTATGCGGTTGTCTTACTATGCTATACCTGGTGCCAGATGGGGCGCCAAGGGCTTACGCTGGCGGCTGAAGCTACCTTTGCACTGCATAATTATTTGAACTCCGAAATGTGCAGCATGTGCAATGCCATGCGTCTTTGTGCCAGGCCGCAGGCGTCGTACCCTAGAACCGTAGGACGTCGGGAACGAAACTACCAGCATGTCTGTCTCGGACGTCAAGCAAGATTTTGGGCCAGAAATATCAATGTCACGTCTACCAGATGAACCCAAATCTCTTCCGTCCAAGTACTTCCTGGGGCATACCGACCCATTAACATGTGTAGCTCTTTTTCCAGACAGCAAAATGATCATTACTGGGTCCTATGACCGTAGGATTCGCCTTTGGGATGTAGGAAGTGGTCAAGCAATAGGAGAACCCCTTCGAGGACACAAGGTTTCAGTCAATGTGATTGCCGTTTCGCCCAATGGGACGATGTTCGTGAGCGGAGGCGGGGACGGCAGAATTTTAATATGGAACGCAACGACGCGTAATTTGGCAACAGCGCCCATTCAAGCACACTCGAACAGGATCAACTCCATTTCCTTCTCTCCCGACAGTGCTACCATCGCCTCCATAGCAGGCACAATAATCAAGATATGGGATGTGGGCACCGCGAAGCTGATCATGGATATCAAGTCCACGACCTCCGAACGCCAAGTTGCGTTCTCTCCTGAAGGTAGCAGAATTGCTTCTGTATCCCACCTAGCTCCAGATCAGCAAATGTTGCGAATTTGGGATGTGAAGACGGGAAAACCAGCAGCAGTCAACCCTATCGCTGGGCATACGGGTGGGCTGTTGTCTGTGGCATGGTTCCCCAATGGACAGCGTCTGGTCACTGCATCGCTCGATAGAACGATCCGTGTCTGGATCTCGGAGACTGGTCGTCAAGAAGGACATTCACTTGGTGGCGATGCGGCCTGGATGGCTGACTACGTCGCTGTCTCTTCTGACGGGAAGCTCATTGCTGCTCTTTGCGGAGATCAATCTATACGACTCTGGAATGCTATTACCCTTGATCAGAAACTCGTGCTCCAGCATGCTGAACCGGTGCTCTGCATGGCTATTTCAGCTGATATCCGTTTTATCGTTGGTGGCTGTGGCGACAAGAAATTGTGTCTATGGAACATCGAAAACATTACGCAGGATGAGCACAACTCAAGACCATTGTCGACCCTTGGGCCGGAGAAGCAAGAAGACGTGAGAAAGCTACCTCTTCATTTATTTGCTGAATACAAACCACCAGCTAGTCGGCACCCGACTCATCACTCCCGGATCAGTCTCCAATGAACCTCATGTACCCAGAGGTACAGAGTGGCCCTGAACAAACTGTGTCGCAGGCCGTAATCACATCCCATGGACCACTCCCTCTGGAGGTAGGATTCAATCAGGCTTCTTTCTCTGTACGCTCGCTAACAGTAGCTTCTCCAGCCTCCTACGACAGCCAAGGAAGATACAGATCCTGTAGCTTCTCCCGCGGAGCACAGCCATTTCCGAAAGTGGTGGAGACAGGCCTTCAATTTCTGGAATGCTGGAAAGCATTTGTCGTCTCAAGTGAATATTTACTTTTTTTGAGACCAAACACGATATTGACAGATTGTATATTTAGCAGAGAATTGCTGAAATCGAGCCGCGCTCCGACGAGATAGAAAATGTAATTACGAACCAAGGCCAAAGTCCTGCTCAGGATATCCTGGACGAGTTCAATCGCTATGTCATGAACGAAATTCCAATTCATCTGATCTATCTTCCGACAATGGAACTCGTCGGACGGAACTTCGTGAAGAATCATTTCCAGGATCGCATCAAGGAGATTACTGAAGATTTGGTAGTCGAAGCTCAGGCACGCTTCGTGCCGCCGTTGACGAGAGAAAAAGTCGTCCCGACTCTTGTCCGGCGCAAAGTCGAATATGGTATTCTCTCCCATCGGTGGCTAGATTCAGGAGAACCTTCATACCAAGATATGATGGAGAGGAAGCTGTCTGGCAGCTCGGGCCCTTCGAATGTCGGATATTTGTTGTCCAACATAACGTCTCGGCCGAAGGACGGTCGTCATACATTGCACACCTCGCACAGTGAGAACAAAGTGCAGAGCCCTGGCTACAAGAAATTGCAAAAGTGTTGCGAAGAGGCCAGACGTCTTGACCTACACTTTCTGTGGTCAGATACATGCTGCATTGACAAGAATAGCAGTGCGGAGCTTGACGAGTCGATCCGGTCAATGTTTCGGTGGTACCGGAATTCGTCCATCTGCATCGCGTATCTCGGGGGGACAACTGTCATTGAAGACTTGAGATTGGAAGAGTGGTTTATGAGAGGATGGACTTTACAAGAACTTCTCGCGCCCAGGAAGATAAAATTCTTCAACAAGGATTGGCAGCGACTGACCGATCAAGACGACGACAAGGAAGAGGATACCCCTCTCATGACGGTCCTGCAAGAAGTTACTGGAATTCCTGAAACAGAACTCATCGATTTCGAACCCACTCCTCACTATATTGATAAGCGGATGACCTGGGCTGCGCAACGAATAACTACGCGGGCAGAAGACGTTGCTTATTCGCTCATGGGAATGTTTGACGTCAGCCTGCAAATCGCATACGGAGAAGGTGGAGAGCGCGCATTTGGGAGGCTCATTGAAGCCATCATGCAAGCTGGCGGATATTCATCGGTGCTCAACTGGGCAGGAGAGCCGGCCAAACATCATGCATCATTTGCTCTTCCCGCATCGCCATTGAGCTATGTGGGACATCCCGACATTGTCTCGATAGGTCGACTTGACATGATGTTGACCAGCAGGGGATTGCGTATTCCGTTGGTCATTGTACCACTTGAGATGGCTAAACCCGAATTTGATGGCCACCCCATCATAAATCCCAAATTTTACTGCACACACCATGGGATTGGCGAGGTCAAGATCGACACCAGAGGTTACAGGTTCAAAGCAATGTTCAGAGAGTATGCACTAGGCATATTCCACTATATCCCTGCAGAGGACTCGCAAAACCCAGGTCTTCCTAAACAAGTGGCAGCTTATCTCCTGGAAAGAAGTGAGGTGAATCCACAGGAAGATATACCGGTTGGACTGTCACGACAGTATCGCTCTTTCGAGGATGGGTGGAGAAGGGTACCCACCGGATTCATTTATGTGGAACTTCCCGGTGTACCTGATTTTGCTTCTTTGTGGTACATTGATCGCACCTGTCTGGAAACCGTTTACTTGTAGGAACTTTTTCGACCATGCGAGCATTATATATAACTTGAACTTAGCTGTATGTACGTGGTACTGTTCTGTGCCTGAACCCCTTTCAAGTCGCGATAAACTCGGACTTTCATAATTACTACCTATTTCATGCTGTGTTGGCAGGCTGTCTTGCACTGCAGTGTTGGGGTACGCCGTAGGGTCGACCCGACTCGACCGTTCTCTAAACTCCCGAATAGGAACTTTTAGAAGAAAGCTTGACCCACAAACACCTTTTAGGGATTAATAATATTGACCCGTTGGAAAGTTTCGGCTTGGCAAACACCCTTGCAATTTTTTCCTCATGATTAAGTCATTCGATCGACCGCGTTCAAAGGAGATTCGTGGTGATTTTTCGTCACAATTAATTGCCATTTTGATTGTCATTTTTGTCCATACAGCTCATAGTCGGACTATGGCACCCTTCGCAACTCATCATGCATCGAGAGTTAAGCTTGCTGGCAGCTGGTGAGTCATGATGAAACGACTCAGAGTAACGCCATGAATCAATGTTTTGCGAGAAAGACACTACATTCGGTCACATGCCTAATGAATCTAGTTCATGACACTAAGTTCACAGCCTTGCGCATTGCGCAGCGAACGCAGACAGACTAGTGCCTTCATAGTTCAATGTAATCCCGGGGGCAGTGGGCAGGCATGCGGCACTTACAATGACCTTGGTCGTTGGCGGCAGTTTGACAGCTCCAACTTAGTTCAACTTCAAGTTGTCATTGAGGGTCATTCTCGACTAGAATCATGATAACTTTGCCTGAGGCTTCACTTTTAGCGTTGTTCCTAGAGACTTTGTTCTACGGTGCGTCACTGACCTCTGGATGAAGTTATAACATTTAATTTCTTTCCTTATGTAGGCGTGTTCTTCACTTTTTACTGCTTGGCCCTGGTCATACTGCTTAAGAAACGTGGTATTCAACGGGACCTCCTTCTCCCGGTAGCAACCTTGCTGCTCTGCATTGCAACGGGTGTAAGTGTAATGACAACCTTTGGGAAAACAGCTCAACAGTGTCGTAGCATCTAATCATCAATTTCGTTCGAGCACTAGAGGCGTTCGTATTCAAAGTGGATACAATCGGCGCAGATGCCTACTACTCCAACCTCGCTTCACCGTTAGGACTCGCAAAAACCGCACTTTACGTTACGCAGCCCACTGTCGCTGATAGTGTCCTTGTGAGTTTCTTCAATTGCCATATCGTTCTCCCTTGAATATGGCAGTAGATTTGGCGATGTTATATGCTCAACAATAGAAGCCTCTTGGTCGGCATTCCTGGTTGTATTGTGCTGTTGGCCAATGGAGGTAAACATCTCGTCGAAAGATATTATTCAGAGACTGCCTCATTCCATGACATTTCGCAGCGATTGGGTATTACATTGTCTGGTCCCTTTCTCAAGCCATCGCAGGGTCGACTGCTCTCACCACCATTCCTGGGTTAATCATAACTTTCTATACATTGACCATGCTTATCAGTATCGTTTGCACTAGTACGTCTATTTTATGGCTAATCTGCAGGCTCATGACGAGTAGGATATGACAGCTTTAATTTCCTGGCGCATCTGGCGCAGTCGCCAGTCCATCCCAGGCGGCCCCGTTGATCTTTTACCCGTGCTGATCGTCATCATTGAAGGCGGCGCTATATATGCTACCAGTGTTCTTGCACTCCTTCTGGCATTCTTGACAGGATCAAAGGGCGAATACCCCGCGATGGATATTGCCTCTCCTGTTGTGGTGAGTTTACTTGGCTTAAACGCAACTGTTTATAAGACTTTTCTTTAGGGAATCGTATTCTGCCTCATCATCCTGCAAGTCCACTTTCATGTAGGTAACAACCCCCAACCCGACAGCCCACCAAAGCCCTTTACCATTCTCTTTGGAGAGCGAGGAGAGCAGAATGTGAGCCATAGCATGGAACCGATGATTGAAGAGACGGAGGTCATTCAGTTGACGTGATGCGCAGCCGACGACTCTCAGGAGATGAATGTTAATTGTTTTCGAAGTTGAACCAATTTCTGCTTTTCTGTGCGTTTACTAATATCCATATATTGTATTCTACTGCGAACCAGTCCATACCTGTCACCTCGCTGTACATCACGGACACAATCTGCAGCCGCAACATTAACCCCACTGATGCTACTAGTACGTGAACATTCTACCCGCGAAAGTTTGAACCCCAAGTTTGAACTAGAGTCTACTAGTCTATCGCCACTCCGACATATGACAGGCACCAATGACGCCACCGGTTGCTATCTTGTCCGGATGACACGATCCAATTGTTGCTAACTTTGCGACTGGCGGCGTTCAAAGCCATGAAGTCGTTCTTCCGTATGCTGCCATGCCAGGCCACCGCTGGCCCGAATTCGACAGCAATCTGCAATTCTCAAATAGCCAGGCGCTCAGCGCTCAAGAACATGATGACCGTTATGATTTCGAAAACTATCCAAACGATTTTACTCAACCAGAGGCTCAAGGTTTCGTATCATATACATCTAATATATCAAGGACGCGGTTGATCCTGCAGAAGAAATTCGCATTGGCTCCATGTGCATGCTCCACATGCACTCCCAATCGCTCAAGCGCTCGCTACTCATGTGCGCTCGGCGGTCTCCTATTTGTGTGCGTTCTTCGCTTATCTCCGTGTCTCTAATCCTCCTTTTGCAATTTAGTATTGCCTGCCTCGCATCACTTTTTCTTTTAATACAGCGCGTTCGAGTTGGACCGTAAATCGCAAACAGTTTCCCCTGCGATCTGCTCATAGGACGACATTCGATGGATGTCAAGGGCTGACAGGCTTGAGAACGCCGTGCTTGATCTGCGCGCAGATCGGTTTGCACACGGACAGCTATACACCGCACTTTAGACGTATGGCGTCGCTGAGACATTCAAATGCTATTTTCAAGAGAAGAGGACAAGATAAGACCGGACGGAACATCCCAAGGTGAGCGGAGCGCTTGTATTGACGTATAAGCAGACCTGCACAGATATCCCTTCGAAAAGATTAGCCGCGCAGCGGCAATCCCCTGTATTCCATAGTCTGCCCAAATCTGACAATCAAGACGTGAACGACGTGGATATGCAATCATATATTGAGTGCGGTGCAGATTGTAAATCAGAAAGGTAAAAGCTATCTCCTTTAGCCTGATCTGCATCGAGCAGATCGAAAATGATACGCGAGGACAGGATCATCTGCAAGACACGGCAAGGGTAGAGAGGCAACTATAGTAGCTACTCTCTTTCTTTGTCACAGACAATCAAACCCCATTGATTCGAACTCGCTTTCATTGAGTGAGACATGCTTTCCTCAGTCCAGAACTCCAAGTATTGTTTATACTGTTTAGTCATGGTTGTCTGGCATTAATATTGTATGGCGTGATACGTGATATATAGTGACCGAACAGGTTACATAATCACCCTTTCAGGGTGCTGTAGGTTTTACTTCGAGTGCCCTATTCAATAGTTTATTCGCTTGCAGGTAACCCCACTTTGTGTCGTGCGCCGACATTTACAGCTCCGAATTCTGCTAGTCCTCTTGCAAGGCTCTCTGTGCGCCATGGGACTTACAGGGTTGCAAGTCTGTACAGACTAGTATGGTAAGGAAAGTTTCCTGCTTTCATACTAAATGAGTCTACTCTAATCAGAATTCTTCATACCAGATAGGATGTAGCCCACTACCTGCATTGTTCCATGGAAAACCGCACTCCCGAGACACCGTGACGATTCAGTAAGAGAATCTGAACTTTGACATTTATCCAATGCCTTCGACTACTATCAACGTCACCTTTTAGAAATGTTTACCGATATATTCCGCCTTCATGAAATCTGATTGGGTCAGGTTATTCCTGAAGACCAAGTAAAGGTAAATTGTGATAGAAAGAGAAGGGATTTGAAGGTCATCCTAGCCAAACACGGATTCGAAGTATGACATAGAAGGGATGCCTCGTAAGTGCCAAGTTGGAAGGTATCCGAAGAACCTTGCTTCTTACGATACATCCGAGTTCGTGGCAAATAAAAGCCCTCGCGATTTTGGCTAGATGATCCCTTCGACCATAACACCCGAATACTCACTCCAATTCCAACCATGCAGCTCACGCTCATTTTCACCACACTCGTTACATTCGCTGCTATTGCTGCGTCACATTCGACACCAAAATTGGTCAAAAAACATACTTGTGAGCACTGAGGACTCGTGCCATTCTTGTCGGTGAGAGTGATGCTGATATGCTATGCAGCTCTGGCTAAACGCCAGGAACTTTCCTCCAACCTCATTGGTCATCTTAAACCCAGGCTTGGGATGCCCGATACACCTGATACACCTGATGAGCCTGACTCGGTTGACTTTGGCGATACGCCTGATACACCTGACTCGGTTGATTTTGGTGCACCTAGTTTTCTCGCGTCGTCTCCCCTCCCATTTCCCCATCCCGCCAGCTCCTCTGACTCTGACTCCTCCGACTCTGATGATAAGTCCGTCGATTCTGACTCCTCCGACTCTGATTCCGACGATAAGTCCGTCGCTTCTGACTCTTCCGACTCTGATTCCGATGACAAGTCCGTCGCTTCCGACTCTTCCGACTCTGATTCCGATGACAAGTCCGTCGCTTCTGACTCTTCCGACTCTGATTCCGACGACAAGTCCGTTAATTCTGACTCGACCGCCGATCCTGATGCAAGCGGCGAAGCCGACGATGACGACGACATTGATAATGATGACACAGGGAGTGAGGAGCGCGGGATGCGCGAGGAGCGCGAGGAGGCTGAATCTTCCCATGCCCACAAGAGAAGGTCTGACACAATAGACAGTGGCGACACGGGGCGTGAGGATGTTGGATCCCACTACGTTCACAAGAGAAGCCCCAACTCCCGCGACTCCAAGTCCTCCGTCTCTCATTCACCCGACGAAAGTGACAACAGTGACAGCGGCGACACAGGGCGCGAGGATGTTGGGTCTCATCGCGTTCACAAGAGAAGCCCCAACTCCCGCGACTCCAAGTCCTCCGTCTCTCATTCACCCGACGAAAGTGACAACAGTGACAGCGGCGACACAGGGCGCGAGGATGTTGGGTCTCATCGCGTTCACAAGAGAAGCCCCAACTCCCGCGACTCCAAGTCCTCCGTCTCTCATTCACCCGACGAAAGTGACAACAGTGACAGCGGCGACACAGGGCGCGAGGATGTTGGGTCTCATTACGCTCACAAGAGAAGCCCCAACCCTAAATCCTCCGCCTCTCATTCAACCGACGAAAGTGACAACAGCGACAGCGGCGACACAGGGCGCGAGGATGTTGGGTCTCATTACGTTCACAAGAGAAGCCCCAACCCTAAATCCTCCGCCTCTCATTCAACCAACAAAAGTGACAACAGCGACAGCGGCGACACGGGGCGCGAGGATGTTGGATCTCATCACGTTCACAAGGGAGGGCCCAACCCCCACAACCCTATATCCTTCGCCTCTCATTCAACCGACGAAAGTGACAACAGCGACAGCGGCGACACGGGACGTGAAGATGTTGGATCTCATTACATTCACAAGAGAAGTTCCAACTCCCGCAACTCCAAGTCCCCTGCCTCTCATTCACCCGACGAAAGTGACAACAGTGACAGCGGCGACACGGGGCGCGAGGATGTTGGATCTCATTACGTTCACAAGAGAAGTTCCAATTCCCGCGACTCTAAGTCCTCCGCCTCTCATTCAACAGACGAAAGCGACAACAGTGACAGCGGCGACACGGGGCGCGAGGACGTTGGATCTCACCGTGTTCACAAGAGAAGTAAGTCATTACAGGCCTGGTGGATCACTATGTATAACACCTGTCACACCAGAGGCTTTTGTTTACCGTCTCAAGCACGACATGCGCTACAACTAGGCAATATATCCGAGAGAGGTATTTATTGTCTTCTTCTTGCGTTACTATGAAGTCTTATTGCTCTTTAGCTTTCGAATTAGGAAAGGGATTGCGAGAAGACGTATTGAGTTTATGTAGGAACTTTTACGGTTATGCAAGCATTATATCTAGCTTGAGCTTAGCTGTATGGACGTGAGTCACGCGATACTGTTCTGTGCCTGAACCCCTTCTGAGTTGCGGACCTTCATGTTGACCGTTTTTCGACTTCCGCTCGCCCATTTCTCCATACACGTGATGTCGTGACTTCCGAATAGGCGACGAGAATGAGCCTTGGAAAGTTTCGCCCAGCACCTTGTAATTTTCAAGTTCTCCTCAGGCCTCAGGTCATGTTGACACAGCATTCAAAAGAAGATTCGTGCCATTATGGTGAATACGAATATAATTGTCATGTTTAAATGCAACCTTGGAGTCGGACCACACACCCTTCGCAACTCCTCAGGCCTCATACATCAAGAGCCAAGCTTGCTGGTGGGTACCGATGAGTCGTGATGAAACAGCTCAAGACTACACCCTGAGTGACTCATGTTTTGCAGCTTCAAATGACTCATTCGATCACATGTCTAATTTAGTTCCAATCAAAACTAAGCTCACAGGTTTTGACAGCCTTGCACAGCGAACACAGACTAGTGTGACAGTGTCTCAATGTAGACTGATCCGTTGGGGGCAGTGGAGTGTTCCGCGGCACTTAATATGATCTTGGTTGTTACCAATTTGAAACTTAGTTCAGCAACTTCAGCTTGTCCTTGAGGGACATTTTCGACTATAATCATGATATCTTTGCCCGAAGCTTCGCTTTTAGCGTTGTTCCTAGAGACTTTGTTTTACGGTGCGTTACCAACCTCTAAAAGAACTTATGATATTCAATTTCTTTGCTTATGTAGGCGTGTTCTTCACTTTTTACTGGTTGACCCTGGGCATACTGGTCAAGAAGTATGGTATTCAACGGGACCTCCTTCTCCCGGTAGCAACCTTGCTGCTTTGCATTGCAACGGCTGTAAGTGTAATCACACCCTTTGAGAAAATAGTTTGACACTGTCGTTAGCATCTAATTATCGATTTCATTCGAGCGCTAGAGGCGTTCGTTCTCAACGTGGATACAATCGGCGCGGATGCCTACTACTCCAACCTCGCTTCGCCATTGGAACTCGCAAAAACCGCACTTTACGTCACGCAACCTACTGTCGCTGATAGTGTCCTTGTGAGTTTCCCCACTTGTCATATCGTTCCCCTTTGAATGTGCAGTAGGTTTGGCGATGCTATGTGCTCAACAATAGAAGCCTCTTGGTTGGCATTCCTGGTTGTATCGCGTTGTTAACCAATGGCGGTGAGCATCACGTCGAAAGGTATCATTCGAGGACTACCTCGTCTCATGATATTTCGCAGCGATTGGGTACTATATTGTCTGGTCCCTTTCTCGAACCGTCGCAGGGACGACTGTTTACACCACCATTCCTGGGTTGATCACAACTTTCTACATATTGACCATGCTTATCAGTATCGTTTGCACTAGTACGTCTATTATATGGCTAATCTGCAGGCTCATGACGTATAGGATATGACAGCTTTGATCTCCTGGCGCATCTGGCGCAGTCGCCGTTCCACCTCAGGCGGCTCCGCTGATATTTTACCCGTGCTGATCGTCATTGTCGAAGGCGGCGCTATATATGCTACCAGTGTCCTTGCACTCCTTCTAGCATTCTTGACGGGATCAAACGGCCAATACCCCGCGATGGATATTGGCCCTCCTGTTGTGGTGAGTTTACTTAACTCAAACGCAACTGTTTGTAAGATTTTTCTTTAGGGAATCATATTCTGCCTCATCATCCTGCAAGTACACTTCCGTGTAGGTAACAACTCCCAACCCAGCAGCCCATTAAAATCCTTCACCGATCTCTTTGGAGAAGAGCAGAACGTGGGCTATGGCATAGAATCGATGATTGAGGAGACAGATCATTCAGTTTGACGTGATGCACAGCCAACGACTCTCAGGAGATGACTGTTAATTGTTTTGGAAGTTGGGCCAATGTTTAATTTTGCGCGGGCGTATGTTTACTAATGTCCATATATCCTCTCATTGTGTTCTGCTGCAAACCAGTTCATGCCTGCCACCTTTCAATTGCAAGATCAATCCCATTGATGCTAGTGGTAAGTGAAAATGTTGCCCACGAGAGTTTGAACCCAAGTTTGAGCTAGTATCTGAGAGGTATGTTGGGATGCCGAGTCGCCCCGAAGAGATTGGGGGGAGACTTGAATTCACTTTGGCAAGGCCTGAGCGCCTGGAATCGCGCTTAGGCTACACTGCAGACTATTTCCTGTTGATCATGGATACAAAAATCGTATGTGATTACTGTATACGAGTTTCGTCAGTGGTGTTAGGCTTTAGCCGAGAGCCAAAAGACAGGGGCGGAATAATTGTGTAGTTAGGTACCAATCTTACCCGTTAAAAAGCCCTTATAAGGACACCAAATAGAGCATTAAAATGTCTTGCAAGGCCTTGAAACCCTTGGAATTTTTTTCCGACATGAGGAGGGGATCGAAACGGTGGTACCTACTACGAGGTACTCGTGAAGCGAACTCACATTCACTCCAAACAAAGCGCCGTGTGGTGGTCCTGAGCAGAATTATATCTTACTATAGCCATCATAGTTACAATATCACGAGCTTGATCACTGATTCACTGATGCAAGGTAAGGTTCTACAACTTTGGATCATCACTCATCCTGCAGTTCGATGGCGTCATAAAGTCATGCGTTCATTCACATTAACACTATTCAGTCAGCAATCAGTCAGGAGATATGATATGTAAGCCAAACGGCTTCCCCAGCCCTTGGAGGTCCGAGGCATATATAAGTAGGATATAACTTACCAAGGAGGCTTACATTCTGCTTTACATCCAGCACCAACGGACTCATCATGGCTTCTGACACCATAAGCACCTTCAACTACTTCCTCCCTCCACCTGACGGCTCTCGGCCCTATAATAGAGTCTACGCAGATAGCACCACAGGAAAGCCGACACGCAACTGGGTCGACGACCCGCATGATATGCAAGTTGGGGACGTGCGTGGAAAGGAAGAACTTTACAAGCTCGACAATGCCGGATTTCAGTATGGGCGAGAAGCAGCGAAGCACACCAGCTTCTTAAATAATGATGAGATTGAGCGCGAATACTACCCCGAGAGCATCGACCTCATCAAGAGGGTTACGGGAGCATCCAAAATTGTCATCTTCGATCACAGTACGTTGACCACCAACTTGAGACGACGTCTTGATCCTTAATTCATGTCACAGCTATTCGTCGCCGTCGTCCAGGCGAGCTAGATAATCATAACCCACAGAAACGTCAACCAGTCTCCCGGGTTCATGTTGACCAAACGCCTACGGCGGCCACTGGCCGTGTTCATAGGCATCTCCCGCCAACAGAAGCTCCTTCCCTCCTCCGCAGACGCTTCCAAATAATAAACCTTTGGCGTCCCATATCACATGCAGCTGTAGATTGGCCGCTTGCACTATGTGACTTCCGGAGTGTTGATTTCGAGAAAGACTTGGTGCCTGTCGCTCATGTATACGCTGACCGTGAGGGTGAGACATTTGGAGTCAAATACAACCCAAACCATCAGTGGAAATACATGAAGGCAATGACCCCAGAAGAGTATGTTCTTATCAAATGGTGAGTGAAATAACTCGGGGGAGCTTTCCGTCGTGCTAAAAGGGCCTCAGCTCTGACTCGATAAAAGATGGCAGCGTCGCGATACTCACCCCTCATACTGGCTTCCAAGACCCAAACACTCCAGAGGGAACCCCGCCTCGGGAATCCATCGAGCTGAGAGCTCTGGTATTCTATGATTAGAACATGTTTTGTCAAGTGGCGTTAAGAGTCAGCAAAGAAGTCGTAGCACTGGATCTAGGTTATTGCGCAATTCAAGTGAGAAATGAGTTCACTTTCTCATGTTGGATATTGGAGGTACCTAGTCGGTGTGTAAAGTGTTATTGTGGAACACATTCATGAGAACTCGAGAACTCTCAGACCGTGCTGATAGTATATTTCATATGGGAGTACATCAGGACAACTCCAAATGCGTTAAGTCATACGACGAATTTGGTGAGAAAGGCAAGGAAGTCTCTTCGTCGACAGTCGTAGTAATGACACGAAATTGATGCCATCTTCAGGAGGTGCCGTTTTGCCGCCGAAGACGAAGACAGAGACTGGGGGATCACCAATGCTATCTTCTGGATCAAGAGATACAGGCACAAAGCCTTCCATCTTCCAGAACCTCTTTTTCGAATCCAAGCTATACGGTGTAGCATTTTGAATGCCCACAATACCGTGAAAGGAGCACGCGGTGGCCATAGTGGTGAGAAAGGGAGGATGGTGAGATAGGAGAGAATGCTGGATGGATTACGACAGGAGTATGGAACAGAAATCATGTCTTTGCCTTGCGCAACACTATCTCGATTCGAAGCGATTTTCTTGTATTCTCCGTTATGTTGCCGTGCTAACAAAAATGTGCTGAATGACTGTCCAAGGCAAACAATCAATCGTAATGCTCGCGAATGAGAATCGGTGTCAACCGGCTCATTTTCTCCAAAAGAAAAGGCGAGCGAATCGAATGACAGAGCCAAAATTTTCATGTTCTGCATATGATCTGACGGATTGGGCAGCTCTAGTAGGCCACGATTCCATGGACGGACAAGCAAGAATGTCTGCCAAGGGGCCAGGGGCCTTGTCGACGAGAATGGAATCAGCCTGTCTTCCGTGGTGATCAGCAGGTCACCAAGCCCGTCTGACTTGACTTCATATACGGGTGTCTCCTGGTCTTGACCTTGTCTCCGTCTGACTAGTATGATAGGAAATGCGATACGAGCCAGATGCAGCCGGCGGCGGGAGAAACAAGGAGCGTTCAGGTTGTCGAGTTGTGGTGTATATTCTCAAGGCCAACTCTACAACCCCAGCACTTCGTGGAGAGGAGACTGATGCCTGAATATCATCTTCGGAGAGAGATAGTAGAACGCATGTTGGAGCTTCGTACGATGTGATATTGAATCGGACATGAAGACGCGGATATGTAATTCGTATATTGCTTGAGGTGCAAACTGTAAATCAGAAAGGTAAAAGCTATTTTCTTTACTCTGATCTACATCGTGCAGATCCAAAAAAATACTTGAGGACAAAATCGTCTGCAAGACATATCAAGGATAGTGTGGCGCAATCGGTGTATGGACCGACGGTAAACACGGGAGTTAAGACAGTGAGGTCGATCAGAAACGAGGGTCGGGCGCTTCAGTTGCACAGTCTGCTAGAAGCTGTGAAGCGAACACGAGGACATGTCAGCTCAAACTTCCAGTGGCGCTTTTGACCTAACGCTCGTTGTGTCTTAGTATCAGCACTCTGCAAGACATAGCAAGGATAGTGAGGCGCAATCTGGTGTATGGACCGACAATGAACATGGGAGTTAGGATAGTAAAGTCGATCGGAAACGAGGCTTGGGCGCTTCAGTTGCACAGCCTGCTAGTAGAAGCTGTGAAGCGAACACGTCAAACTCCCAGTGCATTTTTGACCTAGTGCTCTTTGTGTCTTGGTATCAACACGTCGTGACCTGCTGAGGAACACATAGTTGTAAGTGATGATTTTGGACTTTGTCAGATGAAAGCTGAAACAGAGCTCCGCCTAGATGTCTTCACCCATCATTCAAGTTGGAAGACAGGAGACCTCAAGGATAATGCCTTACCAGAAGTTTGAGGGACACACTAAATATGTCTATGGTGCCATGCATCTACCAGGCGGACAACGGATAATGACTTGTTCATTGGACGGTTCGCTGCGGGTATGGAACTTGAAGAGTGGAAAACAGATAGGATACGACTGGCGGGACGGAGATAGTCGGGTGTACACCATTGCATTATCTCCGAATGGGAAGAAAGTGGTCAGCGGGAGTGAGGATGGCGGAGTGAGGTTGTGGGACATGGACACAGGCAAAGTCATTGTGAAATGGATGGGGCATACAAAGGCAGTGATTTCTGTCTACTGGAGTGGAGACGGTCAGCGAGTCTTGAGCGGATCTGATGACGGGACTGCAAGACAATGGGATGTAGAGAGCGGAGAGGTATACCTCGCACCAATCAAGACAGGGCACCAACATGTGTTGGCAGTGGTCTACTCGCCAGACATGACCATGTTTGCAATTGGTGAAGCTTTCATCAAAATCTGGGATGCCAAGACAGGCAAGCTTGTTGGTACTCTTGAAGCAGTTGATTCAGTGCGGTGCCTGGCTTGGACTCGAGATGGAAAAATGCTTATATCAGGGTTCCGCGATGGCTCGATTAGGACGTGGAGTACTACAACTTGGAAACAGATCGCAGTGTTGGATGCGCACACTAGGGATGTCGAATCCATTGTAATATCTCCGAATGGCCGCATCCTTGCAAGCGCATCATCTGACAACACAGTGCGATTATTGAACCTCGGCAACAACCTGCCCATCGGTTCACCCCTCCAGCATCCACATTACGTGACTTCTGTGTCATTTTCGGCAGATGGAAAGTTACTAGCCACTGGCTGCTTCGACAGAAATGCGTATACATGGGACATTTGTAGGATACTAAACGAAGCTGGCCTTAGCGAACTTCTGTTGGACAAGCAGGTCCTTGCTGTACGTGACACTTTATGATCAAGTCCTATCCTATCATAATTGAATCTATTCCTTCTAGGCTAATGCTACACGACGTCCAGTCCGTCAGCCAATCGTCGTCCCCCAGCGCCGGGTGCCTCATGGTTTTTTCGACGACTTACCAGTTCGGGCTCACGTACGTCATTAATATCTAATCCAGTGCTGTTTTTCCTCACTTGTGTGTTCTCAGCACCCTCAATCATGGGCATCGCATGTAAGCACTCTTCGTGACCGGGTTTCCTCTTTATTCCACACCGACTCCCACGATACGTCTTCGCGACCCCGCCCTTTCCACTGGGTTCGAAGTCGTCTCTCTGGCAGACCAACCGGTGAAGATATCGAGCTTCGCGAGCGTCCCTCAGCAGTAGTCGATGTTCCCTATGCCAAGGGCAAACGTGTAGGTCGTTTGTTTGCTTCTCAAATATTTAAATCCCATCTCATACAACACAGAGGAACGCATGTGCAAGAGAAAGACGAATGAAAATCATTCCATTGAAACCTGGGAACTCTGCCGCAGGCCTCTCACGTCCTCCCAATAGCAATACCACACAACATTCTAATGGCGCATCTCAAGCCCAGTCCTCGCAAGCACAGGTTGCTGTCTCCACTGCCACTGCACCTCCCGTCGTCACTAACACAACTCCAAACACTAATCCTCATGTCACAATCAAACACGCTGGGCGCTGGACTCGTTTTTGGCTCTCTATATGCTGTTCCTCTTTTGAGTATACTGACGGTCATCATTAATCTACCCTGTTTCTTTTGCCATCTTTTAAAGATCTCCTTTGTAATTTCTTATGATTTCGCTGCGCTTCTGCTGAGTATACCCATGGTCATCAGCGATATATTTCGTTCGTTTTCTTGTCAAATGATACACATGTGGATTGGCCCCGATCACATCAAGTAGGTAGCGAATCAGTCTACTGAGCCGACAGAAACACTTGCCTACAAGCCGCCAATGCTTCTCGATAGTCTCGAAAGCGCGACCTCCTCTCCAACCTCAGCACATGTGAAGCTTCGACGAACGCCCACAAATCGGCAGAGGAGGAACAAAATGACCTCAAGCTCTAGAATCTGTCAGAACACGCAAGCATATCGAAAACGAGGATGCTCGCCAGTATCAACTTTTGGAAGCTTACAATCGCATCCAGCACCTGACCGACGAGACGATCCGCTCTGCATAGCGTAGGGTCAATCTTGGTCCGAATACCAATCAGTCCTCCCGAAAATGCAAACTGCAATTGATTGTTCTCAGCGTATGGACGATCCTGCTGAAAATAGGCTTGCACGATTCCGGCCCTGAGTGTCTTTCGTTACGATCCCGGACGAATCTTCACTTCTTGCCTTAGCCCGTAGGACGTCTGCGAGAGAACACCACCTTTGAGCTCATCGATCTCAACACCAGGCTTTTGACGTCAAAGGAACAGACGACGATGAAACCGGGATCGGAAGCAAATTTACGGACCGTGATAGGTATACGCTTTATAATGTATTCGTTGACAGCGTCGATGTTGTATTTTGGTTGTGTATCGGAACGAGATGGGTAATGACTCGACCACTGGCACTGTGCCTGTTACAAAATTAATACAACATTGGATGATCCATGCCACCGATGACCCGAATGCAGCGATTGATTTTGGTACTCAAAAGCCTGGGCTTCCACGATTAAGTCGACCTTGTTCTGAAAAATAATGATGTTTTCCAGCTTCATGATTTCGACCGTGGCCAAGTGCTCCGATATCTACAGCTGAGGCCATGTTTCGTTTCTTGCGATTAGATGAAGAACAGCATCCATGACTGTGGCATGGTTAAGCATGGTAGACATCAGAATATCGTGACAGGGACAGTCCATGAAGGAAACATGGCGAATGAGTTTCATCCTCTGACTGCATCCTGACCGTTCGCAGGGAGGATCGTCTTCCTTGTCTGAGCGGTACTATCGATACTAGCAGCCTGGGCGGAAGCATGCCTCGTTCCCGCATTTGTAGATCTATGAAGGTGGTTCTCGAGATCAACAATCGATCAGATATGAATCAGAAAGGACATACTTTTAACCCAGCTTCATCGTGATCGAACGAGCTTGTTTTCCAATCGTACACTCATGGTGCCAAATATGGCATTTAACACTGTGACGCCGCCGATCGTTCTTGTAGAGATAGCTCGATTGTTCCACTCGGAAAGTTCTGCGTGCCCAAGTCAATTGTAGCCTGGAATGATGGGTTGCTCTTAGACAAACGCAAGCTGCTTAGGTACTGTCAATACAAGAGTGAAAATCGCTCAAAGCATCTGTTGATACATCTACGATATCTCTAGTGTCCTGATGTCAATCATGTCACGAACAGAAGTCATGTCTTTAACTTGCGCAACGATATCCCGATTCGAGGCGATTCTCTTGTATTCTCCGCTGTGTTGCCGCGCTAACAACAATGCGCTGAATGGCTGTCCAAGGCGAACAATCAATCGTAATGCTCGCGAATGAGAATCGGTATCGACCAGTTCATTTTCTGCAAGAGAAAAGGCGAGCGAATTGAGTGACGGAGAGCTAGGAGCAGCCAAATTTTTCATGTTCTGTATATCATCTGGAGGATTAGGCAGCTCGAGTAGGCCACGATTCCATGGACGGACAAGCAAGAATGTCTGCCAAGGGGCCAGGGGTCTTGTCGACGAGAACGGAATCAGCCTGTCTTCTGTGGTGATCAGCAGGTCACCAAGCCCGTCTGTCTTGACTTCATATACGGGTGTCTCCTGGTCTTGACCTTGTCTCCGTCCGACTTCTATGATAGGAAATGCGATACATGGAAGATGCAGTCGGCGGTGGGAGAAACGAGGAGCGCTCAGGTTGTCGAGTGTGTTGTATATTCTCAAAGCCAACTCTACGACCCCAGCACTTCGTAGAGAGGAGACTGATACCTGGATGTCATCTTCAGAGAGAGATGGTAGCACGCATGGCGGAGCTTCGTACGATGTGATGTTGGCTGGCAGACAACTATTGAAGTCAGATGATATTCCAACCCAATCGAGGGCAGTAATGTCGCCCGATCGTCCCACGATCTCCTGCAAGAGTCGCCCGAGTGCGTTTTCCTTCATCTCGCCATAGATTATAGGTAGGTGGACGCCGAATATGCCAAATAACGAGTAGGCGATGTCTTCCTGTAACGTAGTGGTGCGTGTCGACGCCCATCGGAGTTTCTCTCGTGCTCCTCTCATCCCCGGGCGGAAGGCGACGAGGGCCTGTGAATCTATGCCCGTCGCATCCCCCAACTCCTGCATGATTGCAACAGACTCCTTGTGATTAGAAGAGGGGTCGTCTAGATATATGGTCCAATCTGATTGGTAGAAAAGAAGAACTTTGGGTGCAAGGAATTCCGGAACGGTCCATCCCCGCGTGTTCCAAGCGCTCTTTGCCAGTGCGCCAGACTTTGACAAAGGCGGAATATCCGACAGGTAAACGATAGTGAGCGCTGATTGGCGATACCAGGAAAACATGGAATTGAGTGATTTCTGGAGTTCGACGTTGTTATTTTGGTCGATGCAACATGTGTCAACCCATGCCCAGCGATAACCCGCCTTGCGAGCAACTTTGCAGAATGACTGCAACTTCACGATGCCTCCAACTGGATTCAATTTATACACGACCTTCTCCTGGATGTCGTACAGCAGGGGCTCCTTCTCTTCCCATCTATGAGATAGCATGACACAGCGGAAGTACATTGTAACTGATTTTTTGATGCGTTCCATGCGAAGGTCTTTATGTTTCATTGTCAATAACAAAAGCTCCTTGTACCTTGTACTTGATTTGAAAGAAGCAATTTGTGCATCTCGATCGCACAAGTACCCAGTGGAGGTGTTGAGTAGACGAAGTGGGGCGTTTTCCATTTGAATGTGAATGCTCTTTCGTATAGCACCGTCCGCTTCAGGTGGGCTGAGATACTGCTGGCGCAGCTCTGGAGAAAGAGTCAAGCACTTTAATGCATACATTAGTCAGGGCTTACTTCGTATTTGCGTCTCGGAAGCACTATCCAACTTGGAGAGCATGATTTGGAAGATTTCGATTGCTTCGTCATAGCGCCGTGCGCCATGAAACGCTTCGTGCTTCAACTGGTATCCGATATAAGACGATGGGTCGAGTTCGATGACCTACATATGTATATCAAAATTAAGTATTGACCATGAAAAGATAGATGTCATCAACCTTTTCCGCGTCGACAAGTGCTTCCTCCCACAACGCTTGTTTCAATTTTGCCTTACTGCAGTTGACAAATATGGTTTCGTTTGTGGGATCCAGCTCGATCGCCCTCGAATATAGAAGAATAGCCATGTCGTAGTCACTCGCAGCGAATGCAACATCTCCGTTGGCAGCATAGAGCACGCTGCACTTTTTCTCGAAAGCTGAGTGAAATGCGGGTGAAGATGTAGCATGAGTGGCACGATGAGACTTACCAGCGGACCAACGAAGGCAACTGGCTTTCGGGGTGTCATCACTCCTATCCATCATGTATCTGTACGATTCAACGGCTTCCGGAAGTCTACCTGCAAGAAGGAGCGCGTGACACAGGTTTTCATTTGCCGTTTGCCACAAAGACTTGAGGTCCCATCCGAAGAGCTGCATAAGCACGACGTTTAATTAGACAAAACGTATCTTCAGTTGCATTATATTGACGTACCACCACAAAGTCCATATATTGAGATAAAAGGGCTGATTTAGACCAACAAGTACCAACTTTGACAGCGGCTGTAAAGTGGTCAGCCGCTTCGGTGTGACGCGCGCCGTTCAATGCATTGATTCCAAGCTGAACACGTAGATACGCCTGATATGTGTTGTTAAAAAAATCAGTGTCGACGGCACATGAGTATAGGCTGGATCAACACTCACTTCCACGATACCACATGCAAGAGTATCGGCGTTGGGACAAGAGGTGGCCAGCTCTTGGACACGTAGAATTGCATCTTCATAATGATTTGCATTGAACAATGCGATGGCCTGAAAATTGATGAAGTACTGAGGAGTACGGGAGAACTGATTAGCATGCCTTAATTAAGAGAAGACGATGGGTGGTCTTCGAGTCTCTGTCGGTAAACATGGATGCGAGATCAAATGCCCTCATTGCGTCTTTGAAGTGCTTTTTTCCACAGAGGGCGATGCCTTTAGAGGTGTAGCCCGTGAAGGAGGGCTGAATGCTGATAGACTATGCCACCATGAAAGTTAGGATGTTACTTTCTTAAGAAAAGAATCAGTGTATCTCACCATAAGTGCATCACGAAGCGCATAGTCCCACTCGTGCTTTCGTGCCATAACAAATGAGCGGTTGGCATAGGAAATATGGTTGTTGGGATCAGAGTCGATCTCTTGTGTTAGTAGGTCTTCAGCGACAAGCAAATCACCAGATATGCATGCATTGCGGGCTGTCGTGTTTATAGCGATATTCTACATGAAGCATGTTAACACCGTGTTGTAAGAATAACGAGTGAAGCCTTAAAACTCACCTTGGAAGCAGGTAAAACATCCTCTGGTACTGCCCACTCTGATATCTTCTTATTCCCTCCTCCACTAAGAATGTACTCGCCATCCAAGGAGAAAGTGACGCAACGCATCCAGTCAGAGTGTCGGAATATGGCAATAGTTCGTCTATCTGAGAGTTGCCAAAGGCGGACAGAATTGTCATACGATGCGGAGGCGGCCAGGGTAGCTGCAGAGTTGATTGCAATGGCGCAGATTTGCTTATCATGGCCTTTCCAGGGACTCCCTCGGACCTGCTCCCAACTCGTTGAGTCCCACTCTCGTATAGTAGGATCGGCATTTGTGCCTGCTGAGAGAAGGCGTTTGCCATCAGGCGTCCACGCGAGTGACTTGTTGAATGGTCTAATGCTTGCTCGATTGATCGATGTATGAGCCGCGTGACCCTCAAATATTTTAATGCAATCCCTAGTGTTGGGATCCCATATTTGAATGTCTCCGAGTGTCGCAATGGCAAGATGTATACCAGATGGTGAATACCGAATGCAGTTGACATAATCATGACAATCGATAGGTTTGTCTTGCAACCGCCACGTTTTTGTGTTCCAAAGCTTCGTTTTTTTGTCCCATCCGCCAGTAGCCAACACCGCACCATTTGGAGAAAAATCCAACGAATCAATGCCAGAGTGAGCTTGGAAAGATTGGGTGAGAGGTTCCCCAGTGTCCCCGTCCCAGATGATGAGCACCCCCTTCTCATCACCGCTTGCTATTAATTCCCCGTCTCGTGATATCGCCACTGCCCCAACCCAGTCGCAATGTCCTTCCATTTTCTTCAATACCACGCCGTCCTTCAGGTCCCAAAGACGAAGTGTCTTGTCTGCCGAGCCTGTAACCATTCGTCGCATATCGGGGAAAACTGCGACTGCAAGTACCGCGTCCTCATGATCTCCAAATGCTCGATTAGGGTGTGGTGCTTATAATGATGCCTGCTCTGCCTCTTGCACCATTCTTGTGTGGGTGGGTTACTGTCGATTGTAGGGATCGTGCTTTCAGGTGCATTACGTGGACATCTTTGTTGAGTCAAATAAGCGCTCAAAGCCCATGATGACGTCGTTCTTCTGTACGCTGCCATACCAGACCACCGCTGGTCGAAATTCGACACCAATTTGCAATTCTCAAATAGTCAGGCGCTCAAGAAGCATGATATTGCTATTTCGAAAACTATCCGAACGGTTCTACTCAACCAGAGGCTCGAGGCTTCGTGTCATACATGTTCAATATTGATGTAAGGACAGAACTGTTTGATCGACGAACACATTTCTTTCGCCACCTCTTTGGACTGCAAACCTCACCCAAAGGACCGTCAATTTTTCATGTGAAGCAATGCACATCGTGCTCCACCTAATCTCCACATGCACTTTCAATCGCTCAAGCGCTCACCCGTGTGCGCTCGGCAGTCCTCCTATTTGTGTGCGTTCTTCACTTATCTGTGTCTCTAATCCTGCTTTTGCAATTTAGCATTGCCCGCGGCGCATCACCTATTCGTTTGCAAGGGGACGGCTATACACCGCGCTTTCATTCAGGAGTATGACGTCACCTGAGACATTGGAACGCTATTTCCAAGAGAACAGGAAAAGACAACAGCATACGGAACATCACATCCAAAGGTGAGCGGAGCGCTTGTACACCCTTGGCAGCACTTTCCTACCATTCGCACGTGGTCTGACAGACCCGGTTCCATGTCATGGGAAACTGGTCTCCGAGACCCCCCCTCCCGCCCTCTAATAATAGTACGTGCTCTCTCATTCTCTCGCGGGCCTCTGAGACCTACCTTCCCAGAGAGGTTCTCACCAAACTCCCTGGGAGGGTTGTGCACAGTGCAACCTCTTGCACACCTCTACAAGGTATCCTCGTTTGCGGGAGGTGTCCTCCTCCTCCTGAGGCTCGCGTGCCTCCCCATTATTATGTTTATGGAGATCTTACCCTTTCAATATGTTGCCACCTCGTATTCATGTTCTTACATTCACAATGCAATTTGGTTTATGAATATTTTATCTGTAGCACTATATTCCGAGCACCCACATTGGCACGCCACTCAATGAAAAAAATAGGTTTGAAAGTGTCATATAGTGTTAAAACAAGAGGATATGAGAGGACACGCTAGATGGGGTATAAGAGGTACAAGAGGACACGAGGTACACGAGACGCGAGGTACAAGAGGACATGAGATGCGAGGTACAAGAGGATGCAAGGTATGAGAGGACGCAAGGTACAAGAGGGTCCATTGGAGATAAAAGAGGGTGCACAGTAGCACAAACAAGATGTAGCAACACAGATGGATCGTCCATGATAGGCAGGAAGGCGAGTAGTGACTTATGTACAAGGGAAGACCAGGCCCAAACAGTATTAGAGAAGCAAAAAAGTTCATACTAGCATGAGAGACACCTTGCATTTACCTTGGCATGGTTGCTCCTTCATGCTTTTCCTGCTCTGCCGCAGGCAGGGTGAGTGGCACATTGGTAATGGGACTCCGACTCCCTCGAGTTTCATTTGCTCAAGGAGGCTGACACTGATATGTGCGCTCATAGCCAGCATGACCCTCGCGACCGCTTGGATACAAGTATTCTCCACGCATGTCTGGCAGGGGAGGTCCACGCACGCAATCATCAAGAAGCTCACGATCTGGGTATCGAGCCTCATGATAGTACGGTCGCCTATACCTGTTACGTAGACTGTAGGTCGGCGTGTGCGAACTAGGATAGGTCTTCTCAGCGATGACTCGAGTGAGTCTACTGAAGCTGAGCGTGGTCTGGCCTTGACGGAACGTCAAGGATTCCTCCGGCGATCTCGGTAAGACGGCGCTCGTCGAGATGCAGGGCTAGCGGATACGTGCTAAGTCGTATGGGGGCGACTTAGAAGTGCGGTCTCACACAAGGAAGCTGGTAGGCTTAGATGAGCAAGTTCTGGGGATGAACCTAGTAGATTAAAGTAAAGTCTAAGTACAATAATCTGTGTCTACTTATAGGGAAGTACTACAAGTATTCTAGCTCAGTCTGTAATCAATAGTATATCGTAAATCTATGATAACAAGACATGAGGTTCAGATAGCATACATGAGGCTTAACCTCTGATCAAGCATGCTGCGCCAAGGGCAGCTGCGCATAGGTACAGGAAGCGCCAAGCGCGCTCCGGATCTTCATGAAGCGACATGCGTTATGCATGCGCTGATCTAGGGTGACCATGAGGCGTACAGCCTCCATGGATCAGGTACAAGGCCGTCTAGGCCAGGGGCGGGGTCATAGCGCCAGGGGCGGGGTCATAGCGGTCCAGACCGCTGTCTTTCTAGGCGCAGGCGGCGCACCGCCGCGCGGGGAGTCTAGCAGAGCGGGGGCAGGTGTAGGGAGAGCTGGGGCTCTAGTAGGTGTTACAGATCCCTGTAACAATACCCGGTGGCATCACGATAGCCTGTGCTCTCGTGGTGAGCAGGATATGCATATCCTGGTGGGTATGTTTCACCACGGTCGCCATAATATGAATACTCCCTTGGATAAGGGTAGTCACCTTCGAGTCGTGGTCGCCTGGCATATGCCTGCCGGTCTGCCTCCTCGTGGTACATGTACCCACCATGTTGCTCATCACTGGGGTAGTGACGGTCATCACGCAATGCAGGAGAGTTGTCTCGATGAGGGCACAGGTCACGGGCGTTATTGAGTGGGAGGTCGCGGAAGTCACTCACATGATGAGGCTCCCTGGAGTGACCACGATTGGGAGGATACTGATTGTCGTGGGGCTCATGTGAGTGTGCTCTATTAGGATCACGATCACGAGGGTCTGGTGCATCATGGCCAGAAAGGGAGGGACTGAGACGAGTGTCCTCCAACTTTGGTGCACATGATGGATTTTGAGGTAGCGGAAGAGGGACATCTGGGACATGGACAGACTGCCCATTATCTTCTGTAGGACCCACATGATGATCTGATTTGAGTGGGGAAGACGGCACCACTGAAAGAATAGGTGCTTCCGTGACTTGTGTAGAGGGCGGACGATCAACAGCCTCGGAGGTCTCAGGGTGCATGGCTCCAGGAGATGGTTGCTGTTCGTCCCCTGAGGATTCTACAATGAGAGGATACAAGCGCCCTCCCTTGGCACGAACCTTGCCTGCAGCCTTCACACTTGGTTTCTTCTCAACAACTGTCTTCTCCTCTAACTTGATCGATTGCACATGTTTCTTCATAGCTCGTATACCACCTTTAGCCTGCAACTTCTGCTTGCGTGAGCATGATGAATCATTGTGGTCCGCATTGTCCTCACTGGGGGATTCGCCATCAGAAATGTCGAGGGGATGGTCAGCACCAGGCTCGTTGACACCATCTGGACTGGATAAGACCTGTATTGGAGTTGGCACTGGTTTGGTAGGGGGGGCGCTTCACAAGCTTGAAGGGACGTGATGGAGGTACAACTACTTTGAGACGTAAATTGGATTTGGGACGTATGGTAGTCGTGGAGTCCATGGATGCGACATCTCCATCATCATCCTGGGTGCGAGATGATGAGGCGACCTTTGGCTTCTTCTTCCTGGTTGCGGCAGAGCTGGATTGAAGGCGTGGAGGGCCATTATAATCAAAAGTTCCGTTGACAAACATCCGCCTCGTATTTGGAAAGGGAGAGCCTACAGGAGGTGCCTCGCCAATGATGACAGGCTCTTTGGAGGCTATGATAGCAGCTGTCAAGTCATTATGAGCTAAAGCAATCCCACAAAAATATTGGCACATACCTTTGGTAGCATTTGTTACTTTGACAACACGCATTGTCTTCGCCTTCAATGCATGAGCGAGCACATTGACCTCATGTTGTGTAAGTCCTGCAACACCTTTACTTCGTGAATTAGTATTGTGAGACTCTCCTGGCATCAAACTCAAGTGCGCGGGATACCCCTCGATGCGTAGATGATCATTTGTGAGTGAACTGGCCATCAAGATCCATGGGAAGGGTCTATCTGCGAACTTGCCACCAAGGTCTGCTGAAGAAAAAAATGTCAGAATCTCACTGTGAGATGTGACGTGCTACGAACCAACTTGTTTGATTAGCCCAGCCTTGAGCAACTTCAATGCATCTTTCTCTTCACCTGCCTCAGATGAGCTCACATCCAAGACCTCTATTGGTGCCTGCTCTCGATCGCCTTCGGTGGCCTTGAAGGCCTGTTCCACAGCAGCAAGCGAGGTGGTGTTGTATACATGGGCTTTCATATGCCCAATGATGGCATCATTACTGGCTCGGCAGCGCTTCTCAAAGAACTACGGAGGGTATTAATAAATATGAGAAGATTTCGAGGTGGGCAACACTTACGCCACCAGCACCGGGTGTCATGTGAACATGGCCAAGTGATGAGTCTTCATTGACGATATTACCACACATAATGAGAGCGGCCTCAAAACCTTGCCTGGCTGCAGCTCCATCAAGCTGCAAATAGAACATCCAGCTCGTCAAGAAAATATTATGAAATCAGAATGAGATCACTCACAATACTTCCTACCCTCCTGTAGAGCTTCTGGAATGTTTGCGTGCGCTGCGCAATCGTTTGAGGAGCATCGGACAGCATGTTGAGTTCCTTGTAGGTATCGAGGATGTCCTGATAAGAATCGGGGTAGGTTTTCTTGAAGAGCTCGTAGCACCGACAACGAACACCGGCACCTATCAAATCAATGATCAGCATTGAGCAAACAGCGCACAGAATAAATGGACCACTTACTAGGTGTCATCGAAGCATCCTGGGGAGGAGCATCTTCACCGAGCCTTGCAAGTTCCTGGCGCATGCGGTCCTTGAAGTACCCCGCATAAAGGTTCCAGTAGTTGGTAGAGTTGATCACTCGACCTCGACTCTTCATCCACAGATTGATTACCTGGTAGGAAGGCATGTTCGTATTTTTTGCAGTGTTAATGACGATGGTATCCAATACAGCAAAACCCTCATCAAGTGTGGAGTTTGTCTCTGCTGAACGTCAACCACCAACAGGTGCACCATCATCGTCCATCATGAAATCGGACTCGATATGAGATCCTCCAGTGGTTGATGTACTGAACATGACTGCATGCTGACCTGACCCACTGGCAGCAGATGGAGCCAAAAGTTCTGCAGGCTTGATGGGAGTTGGCAGGATAATATGTGTTCTTGGCACAGCTCCTTGAGCTGGCAAGGAGTTTACTGGCGCTATGGACAAAAAATTCCAGGGCCCATCCGGCCCACACATATTCACGGCATTTTTCACTTGAGGTTGCAGACCTCCCTGAGAGCTTGGACCTGCAAGTGCAGGCATGAGAAGAGGCGATGTTGGTAACTGAGAATAGGAAGCCAGAGGGCTGGGAGAGGTGCTGGGAGCCTCATGTTGCATCAGAGGTGACAGCACAGACCACAAAGGCCGGGCTCTGGACGGTATTGTGAGGTTGTATGGAGCCATGGAGTCTGAATTTGGAGTGCTATACTGGGGCTGCTGGTGGAAAACATCTGTATTTTGAGGCATAGCCGGCTGCTGGCCAGTGGGTGCCAAAGTGTTGGCAAATAGATCTTGCACCTGCACAGAACACTGCACAGGTGCATCCTCAACCAAAGGAGTATTGTGACAGCTATTTTCAGCAGAGTGAATGGAATCTAGTAGCAAAAGTAAGGTCAGAAGTATGGCAGAAAAGTTTTTGATGAAGACTTACTAGCAACAAGCCATTAGCAGTCTGGTCACTGGAGGCGCAAGCTGCTTGACGTCGAATAGCAGCATCCCTTGCAATACCAACATCCCGCGATGTTGGCTTGATGGTGCTATGCAGTCTTGATGGAGTGAGTTCTGTTGGCATATCCCTATATCGACCACCTCCAAACTGTTCCCGAAGATATTCTTCCTGCGCATATTCTTCCTGCGTATATCCAGAACCCATAGTAGCAGGCGATGATGCAGGAAGGTATGGGGGAGGTGAGGACACCTGGTCGTCGGGAGGGTCAGAGTAGTAATCTGATAGATTAAGCATCATGGCCTTCGCACAAGATCAGAAAAAATGACATGTAATGAAGAAAACACTTACCTGACTTGCTGATCCAAATGAGTAGGTGATCTACGAAAAGTAGATGCACATAAGCTGAGGTCAACATGACCATGAAGTTGTTGCTCACCAATAGTACACAAGAACATATTACTAATGCAAGTAACACAAGTTAGACTGATATTCAAGTGCATCGTAAGTATAGGCCTCGTGCAAATGAGAACTGAGAGGGCATTGCTTACCTGGTTGAGAGGGCAAAATTTTGAATGGATGCACAAAACACTAGGTAAGCGACTGGGAATCCGGAAGGTGGGTGAAAAAAAAAACAGGGCATGAAGCACCCGCATGAAGCCTGATACTTATGAGCGGCCTGATTTTAATTTTATTCAGACCAAACAAGTTAGAACAATGGGCAGAAGCGAAAATAAATGTATGAGACATCACAATGGTTCGAGAGTGGTAGCTGAGGAGGGTGTAGAAGGCGAATTCTAGGCCTTTTGGAGCCTCCAGAGAGGACTCAGAATTGATTACTAAACATCACGTTGGCAACGAGCAGAAATATAGAAGTACAAATAAATGTACAGGATATTACAAAGATCCAAGAGTATTGGCTGAGGAGGGTGTAGAGGGCGAATTGTAGGCCTTTTGGAGGCTTCAGCAAGGGCTCAGAATGAGAGTAAATTGATTACTAAAGATCACGTTGACAACAGGCAAAAATACACAAGCAAAAATCAACGTACAAGACATTATGAGGGCCCAAGAGTGGTGAGGAGGGTGTAGAGGGCGAAATGTGGGCCTCTTAGAGGCTCCGGAGAGCTCTGAATGAAAGAACTTTCGTTACTAAATATTGCATTGAGAAAATAATGATGCTGAAACTTTACTTCATGTCAATGGGAGGACAAAATTAGATCAGAAGCTCAAGCACTGATTTTCTTGAGCTACATACATATACTATTTACGTTTAGTATTACCGATGTCTAAGGTGTTTCGCAGGACGAACAACAGTCTCACTAACTTGGGAATCCTTGTCCTCATAATCATCTTCATCGTTAGTACTAACATCTTCAGAGCTGGATTCTCCCTGGATAGAAGCGATGGCTGGGATAAGATCTCTTGCAGAGGTAGTAGATGGTTTGTGGAGTGCTCGAGAAGCTGGCCGAGGTGGCGGCCGCGTGATTTCCACAATGACTTGGGCATGACAAGAAGAGGTGTGTAAGTGAGGCTGATCTTGGATAGAAGAGGCGGGTGAAGAAGAAGGGACATGACAATGGGGAAGACCTTTTCGGTCAATGCGGCCATCAGCGAAAACACATCGCCCACGGGAGTGCGTGGAGCAAGCCAAGGGGGTGTCCCCAATGACAACAGGGTCTTTGGAGGTGGTGAGCCGTGTATGGGCAGCATCACTTGTAACTGCTCGGATGGTGAGGGTGCCTGCCTTGAGACAATTGACAAGATTGACGCAATGTTGTTGGGTCAGGTCATGGATGCCTTTGCTTTGAGAGAGAGTTGGTCACAGCTCGCTGGGCATCAAAGTCTCTTCAGGGTAATTAACAAGGACATACCCAAGATGAGCTAATTCTTTGGGGAGTGTTTTCCAGGGGAAGTCAGCAGTGGTGCGCCCATGCAGGGTCCCGCCTGTTACGACACACGGTCGTGTGTGACTAGGATGATCTAAACAGCGACAACCACGACAGTGGTACCGAGTGCTGAGAGTCGTCGGCCTTTACAGACAAGCAAAGGTTGCATACTTGAATGTAGCTTGTGGTGGTTTAACGAGGGGTTACGCTGAGATGATAGCGGTTTACAGACAGTGAGAGGCGTCACTGAAGGTACGAGTCGATGTCAAGCAGGTAGCTTTAGCGGGACAAGGAGTTCAAGGGTAAACCTAGTAAGATTAAAGTAAGGAACGTCTACTTTAATCTTCGACCTTATATAAGGCTAATCTTCATATCTAAGCTCAGCCTAAAGCTGGGTTCTAATCTGCTTATCTACATGAGTCAGAGATAGCGTCCATGAGGCGGGCTTCTATCGTAGATAGGATCCATGAGGCATCCTTCTATCAGTGCATGAGGCAACACGAGGCTTGCCTTCTATCTTGATAACATAAATAGGTCTTCTAGACCTATGTCGTCATGTGTCGTCATATGCGGTCCAGACCGCTTATCTAAGCCGGCAGTTGCCGCTTATCTTCTATCATCATCTATCGTCGTCTATCGTCATAGAGGTGGTGAGGCTCCAGTATCGTCTATAGCCGTGCAGTGGCAGAGGGCTGTTCTGGTGGCAGGGGACTCATGCACATAATACAGTGACATATCACCTTACTTACTGGCCAGCCCACCTTGACATTTTCTCCATGTGACATGGGCCAGCCCACCATGGGCCCACTTTATGAGTGTATGTCGGTGTACATGGGTGGGCCCGGCAGTGCTGTGTACCATATTGTTATGGGCAGGCCCACTGCCAATATTCTTCGAAACATTGCAGTGGGCTGACAGGGGTCTGGATGAAGTAGACTGTGTTTACAGCTGGGCTCGCAGTAATGAGGAACAGGGATGATTCAACAATTCCAAGTGGGCCCATGAGTTTCCGAGATGGCTGGAATACTGGCGCCGATGAATTGCCAGCGGCCAAAAAAATGAGGCATTCTGGCGAATGTAAAAGTAAACCAGTGAGTGGAAATACCACCACCGGCGAATGTAGTGGTGATGAAATGATGGTGGATCATAAGGTCAACGACCACCGGCGTATGTAGCGGACTACCGGACGTGCAAAAGTAATCAACGGCCGGCGGAGATCACTCAGCGCACCGGCGATGTAGTCCGGCGGGTCCTACCAATATGCTTTGATGCAGCTGGTGGGCCCACACGGTAGGCAGAATAAAGCAATGGGCTCATTGTTGGTGGGATGTATGGAGTGGTGGGCCCAAGCAGATACTTCTTTATATGTGGCTGAGCTGGGGCCATGGCGATAAGGTGCCCGAGGGAGCCCATATCGGGTCTCCTGAAATTGAATAGGCCCAGGCCCCGTATGTGTGGCGGATGGGTGGGCCTGGAGCACCACATTCATGAACACCGCTGGGCCCAGCTCTCTATCTCGGAGCTCATGGGCCCGCATAATCATAATGAAACCCCAAGGGACATTAGGCAGACGCACGGGCACGGAGGTGTCTGGAGTGTATACCGTCAGGCCTACGCCCTGTATAGCAGTGGCCGGGTGGGCCCAATGACGCCAGGTCGATGCAATGGGCCCACCCCGGGTAAGCCAAATCAGCACACAGGCCCAGGGGAAACATCTTAAATCAGGGGTGGGCCCATATCACATCTAACGAGCAGAACGGGCCCAGTCTTGGCTAACGGGATTAACAGGCAGGCCCAGTGGGCTGCACAACATCCACTGATAAACTTAAACCAGCGATATGGCGCCGAATGGCATTGACAATTGCCGATACATCTATAGATGGGTCCAGAAGTTCGCCGATGCATGTATGGAACTGAGGGATCAATGACTTTGAAGAAATCCCCAAATGTACTATATATACCCCAATTCTATGTGAATTCCATCGCATCGGTAACTACAGATTTGTACCTTGAATAATCACCTCGAGGTACATCTACAAATTCATGAATATCATCCCTCATGTACCACACCCAGCCAACTCGATCGCCGTTCATCCAGTTAACCCCATGCCTAACAATTCTTCCCGAGGTGCCAGCCATGACACCTGCATCATAGGCAATTTCAATGCCAATATTTGGCATCTTCATTTGTGCCGATGTATAACCACCGACGCTGGTCATTATGTCAAACCATTGAGCGTGGGATAGAGCATCTCGGTGCAAGGGAGTATACTGGTTGCACATAACGGCGACGACGGTAAAGACAGATGCCCATTCTCTGAGCTGAGTCCCCATGGTCTGTGTTTGATGAGTACTTGCCCAAACCCCAAGCCCCAGTTGTGTTGTCAATGATGACCAATAGAGACCGGAGTGCATGACTCTCAATGCAGCGGCAACAAGGGCCGCCGGTCTGCACATTGCCCGACAGTAAGCCGCACCATCGTCGCTTTTAAGGGTAGCCGACACTTCAGGCTGAAACTGTGGAGCCTATGAAGAAATCAGGCAAGAATATTCTGTTCCAAAAGTCAATGCACCAGATGAGCTTGCAGGAACCACCCCGGCGATAGATTTATGCACCCTGAGGTAAGGCCATGTTCGCTGATTTGAAAATTGGATTCATGCGTACACCATGTGTCCTTCGGCATGTACCACGGGGAT